ACACATGCCCTGGCAAAAAATACTTCTTAACTCAACTGTGAAATATCCCACCAAACTGACACATTATTGAGGCTGGTTGCTGTTAGAACTGGAACAGCTACTCTGGAATTCCTGATCAAGTGATGGGTGCCTGGACTCAAAAGTATTCAAAGGCTCCATATTTCTCATATACCGTTCTTTGAAATTAGCCAATGTTTCTAACCTCTTTTAACATGCAGTTCCCAATCTATTAAACAGAGACACCAAGTGAAAGCTTGCGATCTCTTTATCTTGAATATTTTGCCTTGATGCGTGTGCAGGAGCTATGCCACCTGAGTTACTGAAGCTGGGCAAGGGAAAGACCGAAGTGATCCCCTCAATGCCAAAGTGTCTAGCAAAGTCCTGATCCCTCAGTGCTTGTTGGCAGGCGCCAAGCATCACAAGACTCCAAGAGCACAGAAGGAGAAGGCAGAAGGACACCTCCAATGACAAACATCTCTGAATTATGGAAATTTTTTAATGTCCCTTTGACTCTTCTTCTCATGAAAGCTGGTTGCCATGATGATGGAAAAGGACTAAATATGGGATAGAATGATAAAATACTGTGGGAATTATTTTATTATAACATATGTAAGTTTTGTTCACAATGGGCACTTTTGACCTGGGTAGATATTAATAGATTTACTACTTTGGTATTTAGCTTAATGTCAAAATATCTGTAAAATAACCTCAGATGCTCTGAAACACAGCTATCATCTTGTCGTCTTTATATGGCCCCAGAATCCTGACTGACTACAGCCACATAAAAGAAGATCCTGGTATTGGTAACACAAAGAAACAATGTGGGCTTAAATGCAACTGTTTACTTTTAGTTCACTTTGCATGAAGCAGCCATTATTTATGACATTAATCACTCTGAAATTCTAATGTGATAAATATGCTTCCTCCAATATGCCTTTTCTGTGGTAGTCATTTGGGGCTATCCCTTCCTCTTCACAGTGCCTTGAGCATACATTTCCATAGATTTACTCTGTACCATGTCCTTCTGGTTATCTTGCCCATGCCCATGCCAGACCGTTGGTCCCTTGAGGACATCTTTATATGCCACTGCCTAGCACATTGCTTAACATATAGTGAGCACACAGGAAATATTTACTGAATAAATCCTTGCCCCCCAAATTAAAGAAATTTAAAAGATATTCTTTAAATGAATAAATTTCCTGTTGCAGTAAGATTGAATGAGCTCCAACTGGCTGATCTGCCTGCAGAAAACAACTATAAACTCTGGATATGTGTGTATGTATGTACACACTTACCTAGAGAGTAATCAGACATTGGAGAGCAAACAAAGACAAAGAGATTTTGGAGAGGATTTGAGCCTGGGAAGAAGAAAATTAGTTTTCCCATTTTCATGGCTTTCTAGTCTTAAGAATTGCCCCAATCTGCACCATGCAGGGTGGCTAAACTTCAATAGAAAACCTTTAGTCTTTAGTCTTTTTTTTTTGAGACAGAATCTCACTTTTTCACCCAGGCTAGAGTGCTGTGGTGTCAGCCTAGCTCACAGCAACCTCAAACTCCTGGGCTCAAGTGATCCTCCTGCCTCAGCCTCTTGAGTAACTGGGACTACAGTCGTGCACTACAATGCCTGGGTAATTTTTCTATTATTAGTAGAGATGGGGTCTCACTCTTGCTCAGGCTGGTCTTGAAGTCCTGACCTCAGGTGATCCTCCTGCCTCAGCCTCCCAGAGTGCTAGGATTACAGGCGTGAGCCATCCGGCCTGGCCAGAAAACCTTTAGTCTTTATGGTCTGTATAACAAGAGAACAGTTTCAGGCAAACAGAACTCCTGGAAAGTGAAAGAAATTCTGAAAAGGAAAGAGACAGAGAGGGGTACCTCAAATTTTGTGCATACATAAATTCTGCCCAAATCTCTGGCTGATCCTTGAACCATGTGTTCATCAGGCAAAATTCAAGCAACCTCCTTAGGGAAAAAAGAATTGAACTGAAACTTAACACATTGACTGCTACACTAGAAAAAAAATTTTTTCCTTGGGGCCATGGTGTTTTATTATGAAAATAGACTAAAAACTTCAAAAATAAAACAATTCTTTCTAATTTAATGAAAAATTGTTATTTTTTTATTGTTTTCTGTGTGCGAGTTATATACATCTTGAAAAGTAGGTTCTCGTAGCTCCCAAGGTGTAGAGAGGTGTGAGTTACATATGCTTCATGATGCCCCAGGCTCAAAACTAGCATGAGTTAAATACAACTCACATGGCAGTTAATGTGTTAAGTTGATGATTAAAAGTCAAATTTACAGTTTAAGGCCAACCAAGCTAATTGTCTGTTACAACAAACAAACAAACAAACAAACAAAAAGTTTAACAATCTTGGAAGTAATATATCAGAATTAAGAGTCTCCACAACATAGCATTCACAACATCCAGGATATAATTAAAAATTAATTAAAATATGAAAAAACAGAAATATATGACCCATTCTCAAGAGAAAAGATGAACAACTGAGATCAACCCAGAGTGATCCAGATGTTGGAATTAGCAAACAAGAAATTTAAAGCAGTTATTTTAACTATGCTGTGACATAATAGAAAAATATACTTGTAATGAATAAACAAATGAGAAGTTTTAGTAGCAAAATAGAAACAATAAAGAGTAAAATAAAAATTGTAGAAATGAAATTATAACATCCAAAATAGAAATACACTGCATAGGCCTATCAGCAGACAGGAGATAACCAAGAAAAAAGTTAGTGAATTTCAGGATGGATAAATGGAATCATCTACTCTGAAAAAGAGAGAGAAACTAGATTAAAAAAAATGAACGGAGTCACAAGGACCTGTGGACAATATCAAAAGATTTAACATATGTGTGATGAGAGACCCAGAAGAAAAAGTGAAAGAGAATGGAGCAGAAAACACATTTGAAGAAATAATGACCAAAAACTTCCCATATTTTATGAAAGAAATAAATTTACAGTTTTAAGGAAATCAGTGAAACCCCCAACAGAATAAATATGAGGAAAACCACATAAGCACATCACAGTAAAATTTCTAAAATTTAAACATAAAGAGAAAATTCTGAAAGCAGGCAAGATGATGACTTATTACACAGAGGAAAACAGTTATTCATATTACTGATAACTGCCCATTGGAAACTATGGAGACCAGAAGATAGTAGAACATCTTTAAAGTGCCTAAAGATAAAACATCATCCCAGGATTCAATATCCAGCAAAAATGTTTTTCAAGGAAGAAGGCAAAATAAAGATGATTCTAGATAAAAGAAAATCAAGAGAATTTGTCATCAACAGACCTGTACTGGAAAAAATGTTTAAGGAAATTCTTCAGGTTGAAAAAAAAATGATACCATTTGGAAACTCAGATCCTCAGGAATGAATAAAGAGCACCAGAAATAATAAATGTCTGGATATAAAAGACTAAATAAAAGACTATTTTCCTCTAATTAAAAAAAAATGCATCTTTAAAGCAAAAATTGTAACATTGTCTTGCAAGGTTTATATGTAAGACAAATGACAACTAAAGCATAAAAATGGTGGCATAAAAAGACATATTATTACAAGTTTTCTGTACTTGACATGAGGTGGTTAATATTAATTCTAAGTAGACTGTTTAAGGATATACACTATAATTTGTTAGATCAACCACTGAAAAGCAGTACAAAAAGGTATAGCCAAAAATGCAATAGATAAATTAAAATAAAATTCTGAAATATATTCAATTAATCCACAGGAAAACAGAGAAGAAAGAGTAGAGGGGAAAAAGCAGAGGAGATAAATAAAAAAACAAATGATAAAATGGTAGACCTAAATCCAACCATATCAGTAATTACATTTAATATTAGTGGACTAAATAATTCAATTAAAAGGCAAAGACTGTCAGAATGTATTTTAAAAAAAAGCAAGACACCACTATATGCTTTCTATAAGAGATGCAATTTAAAAATAAGATACAGGTTGAAAGCAAGTAGATGAAAAAAAATACACCATGTAATAGTAGAATTGGAAGACTGGTGCGGCTATACCAGTACTAGATTACATAAACTTCAATACAAAGAATATTATCAGAGTAAATCATTTTGTAAGTCCAGCATAAACCTAATGCCAAAACCTGACATAGACATTATCTCCCCCTCCTAAAAGATGTAAACTGATAAACTATAGATAATCAAAGAAATACATTTGGACATCCTCATCTGTTTTCATAATATAAAATCACCAATTTATCAGAAAGCCATTGCAATCATAATTGTATATGTGCCTAATAAGAGTTTTGAAATATATAAAGCAAAAATTTACAGAATTAAAGGGAATAATAGGCATTCTACAATCATTACTGAAGATTTTAATGCCCCTTTTAGCAATTGATAGAACTAGACAAGAACATCAGTAAAGGCATAGGTGAAATGAATGATACTATTGACCACACTGATATAAATTAATATTTATAGAACACTACATACTATATAGTATGCATTCTTTCAAATGCACAGAGTATGTTGACCAAGACAGACCATTTGCCAGACCTGAAACAAATATCAATAAATTTGAAATCATTAAAATCATACAAAGTATGTTTTCTAACTACATAGAATTACATTAGATATCAATAACAAATTATGTAGGAAAATACCAAATATTTAGAAATTAAATAACATTCTAAAACAATCTGTGAGTCAAAGAAGAAATTGCAAGCAAAACCTTAAAAAAATTTCTGAACCAAATGATAATAAAATTACAATATATCAAAATCTGTAGGATGCTGCTAAATCTGTGCTGAGAGGAAAATTCCTAGTTTTCATTGTTAATATTAGACAAGGAAAAAGGTCTAAAATCAATCACCTAAGTTTCCACCTTAAGAAGCTATTAAAAAAGTATAGTAAATCCCAAGTACATAGAAGGAGCATAAGAATAGGAATCAATGAAATAGAAAACCAGATAAATAATGGAGAAAATTTTAATAACTCAAAAGCTGGTCCTGGGGGTCCTGCCGTGGGTCTTTTTGGAGTGTGACATTCAGCCGGCCTTTCGGGGCCACGGACTTTGCATTCTAGCACCATGGCTCAATTTTTCTGTAACCTCGCGGAGAAGGCCCGGGCGCTGGTGAATGCTGCTGTGACTTATTCGAAGCCTCGACTGGCCACATTTTGGTACTACGCCAAGGTTGAGCTGGTTCCTCCAACCCCTGCTGAGATCCCTAGAGCTTTTCAGAGCCTGAAAAAAATAGTCAATAGTGCTCAAACTGGTAGCTTCAAACAGCTTACAGTTAAGGAAGCCGTGCTGAATGGTTTGGTGGCCACTGAGGTGTGGATGTGGTTTTATGTCGGAGAGATCATAGGCAAGCGTGGCATCATTGGCTATAATGTTTGAAGACCAATCTTTAACATCTGATTATATTTGACTTATTTGAGTACTCTTGGACCATGTGTGATCAGACTGCTATCTGAATAAAATGCGTCAAAAATCCCAAAAAAAAAAAAAAAGCTGGTCCTTTGAAAGCAATAAAATCGCTAAACCCCTAGCTAAACAAATCGAGAAAAATAAAAAGAGAAAATACATACTACCAATATCAGGAGTGAGAGAAGAGTTACTACTACAGATCCTATAGAAATTTAAAGGATAAAAAGGACATATTAAGAACAATTTTATTGTCAACAAATTCAAAAACTTAGATTAAATGGGCAAATTCCTTGGAAAACACTATTTATAACATAGACACAACATGAAGCAAAAAATCTGAATTACCTTATACATTATATTAAAGAAGTTAAATTAATAACTTAAAGAAAACTTTCAACCAAGAAAACTCCCGGCCACAAGATTTCACTGGTGAATTGTGTCACACATTTAACAAGAAGTTAACATCAATGATATACAAATTTTTTGAGAAAACATAAGGAGGGAACACTTCCCAACTCATTTGGTAAGGCCAGCATAACACTAATGCCAAAACCTGACATAGACATTATCTCCCCCTCCCAAAAAATGTAAACTGATAAACTATAGATAATCAAAGAAATGCATTTGGACATCCTCATCTGTTTTTGTTGTGTAGATAGCTCTTCAAGCAAATTTTACAAACACATATAAAGTATTTCTTATTATCAGAAAAGAGGAAGTACTAATTTTAAAATGTATAGTGTCCACCAAGGAGAACTGGTACATTCTTAAGGAAATTAACTCCAAAATGTGACAGAATTGGCCTCTTATATCATCAATTTCACAGTTTGTCCAGTCATATCAATCAGTGGTTTAAAAAAAGAAATGGATTGCACAAAGTTGTATATCTGGGAAGAAAGGGCATTACTCTGACATCTATTTTGGAACACCTTGATCATCAGAACGTGGGCCGGGCAGAGGGCATAAATGGCTGATGTGAAGAAATCTGAGCAGAGGCTCCTCTGACCCTACCACACACATCGCCATGCAACCCACACCGTGCACCATGCAGCTCACAGCTCTGCTGCTAATGTTTGATTTCATGTATTCATAGGGCTCCCCTCCCTTTGTCCAGCAGCAAGGACAAATGCCTTCATGAATGGTGAAAAAGAATATCCTGAATATATATGCTAACTGGAACTTTCCTGGTTATCATGCAAATTTGACATGATTGAAGAGACTAGGAGCTTAGAGTCTATTTAAATTTGACTGTATAAAATCTAAGTACAGTATTTTATCTGCATAGATTATGTACTTTCATTATGAAACCTGAGACCTCTGCTTAACCTCAGAATTTATCTCTACCTTCATCACTTTTTCTTTCTTCTTTCCCATCATCTCACAGAAATCACATTGCCTCACCTTGGATTCTGTTCGCGGTAAGAGCTGGTTACACAGCCCTGCAGAACTGCAGGGGACTGGGAATTGTGGAGAATAGATGTAATATTTGGTGAACACACCTCTTTCTCTCTTTCTTTTTCTCTATCTCTCATTCTGCCTCAGAGCTTTTGTTTCCCATGTTTGGGGATCTCCAAAATTGAACTTTAGCTGTATGCCACTAAAATGTACTTTTTGGCAGAAGAGTTTGCAGTTTATGTGATACCTTCACTGTTTCATAAAATTTGGATACATGAAATGATTTTCAGGAATAATAATTCCACAGTGATGACAGTCAACTCAATTTGAAACATGGTAACAGTAGGTTTGCCTAATTAAAAGTGATTAAATAACTTTATGCTTATTTACATTTTTCAATTCTACAATAAGCATATGTTAGTTCTACAACTCAGGGGAAAATTTGAAAGAAACAACTATTAAGTAAAAGGCACACAACAAGGAGAACTAGAAGAGAACTCTGGGGCCACAGTGTTGGAAAAGAGTGACCTCTTCCAGGCCAGGCTTCTGCCATTTGGCACTTGGCCCTTGAAGTCTCTTTTCACCTTATGAGTTAAGCCCTACACAACACTCATATGTGAGATCAGAGAGCTACAGAGCACTGTGGGCTAGAAAGCTAAAGAATTGCATTCACTGATTTCTGAAAATAACAAGCACATCTCATTTTTTTTTTTTAGCACAAACATTTGGTTTAAGAGAAATAGCAGAACCTGACTCCTATCACTAAGTCCTCGCCTGAGACCTAGTCACAATTCTTGCTCTCCCCATGTAAACATTTATCTCTCCACAGCACCTTAAAGCACCTCTCCATTGTATGGATCCACACAGCTAATTTTTCTATTTTTGGTACAGATGGGATCTTGCTATGTTGCCCAGACTAGTCTGGAACTCCTGGCCTCAAATGATCCTCCTGCTTCAGCTTCCCGAAATGCTTGGATTTCTGCCATAAGCCACTGCACCTGGCTAACCATGATCCTTGTAACCAAAGGCTCCTTTTTATAACGAGGACAGGCACTGCTGGAATATATTTGATGAACATGAAATAGAATAAGCCTATCTGGCCCCTGGGACTAAGCCTCAATACATCGGACTCATTAGGATGTGCTCATGCAATGAGTAAAAAGACTGGCCTCATGGCTATGATTTAATTGGTCAATTTGGAAATACCAGTGTTCTCTTGCGCCAGCATGCATACTAACCTACATGCTTAGTTGAGAAAGAAACAGTAAAACATTCCAGCAGGTACAGGGGAACAGTAAACATTGACTTAAGGAAAGTTGGGACAAAAGAGTCTATATGTAAAGAACATAAGAACTTTACAAGTAAAAGATCAAGTGCTAGCACGTTGTGTGTTTGTGCATATGTGTGTATGTGTGTATTATGTGCATGTTTATTTCCAGCCTCTGACTTTCTGAACCTTTCCCACTAGAGGGGTAAATGAGGGATTTGGAAAGGTCCATTTTCTAGTCCTGGTTCTGCCCTTAACTACCCGTGTGACCTAAACCAGTCATTTTACATTTATAGGCCTCAGTTGTAATTCGATTGCATTATAACAGAAAATTTCTAAGCTTCCTTCCAGTTCTCAAACTCTATGGCTTGAAGCACAATTTCATGTGATCATTTTATTAATATATGTGACTTTAGATTTTCCTTGTAGCTACTTTTATGACATTGTTAGTCAAGCTGATGATTGATTTGACCAGAGTCCTTTGTCAGGAAATTAGCTCCCTATTGTATCATTACTTTTGCAGAAAAATATGAGCTGCTCTTTAATTACTGTAATGGATATAACGTATATTATAATTTGTAGCCCGTTAGTTATTAATAACAAACATCTGTGGTCGAGCTGCCTATGCTGTATGGGTGGTTCCTGGGAAAGGCAGATACTCTTTATGTACCCATTATTAACCAAAATTAACCCAGAGATGACCAGGACAATGCTCCGAGCACACCTTTGAGTGATACAGGAACACATTTAGTTCATTCTCTTCCCTCCAGATGGAGTTGGCATCACTGATATCACCTGGTATTGGAGAGCTAGCACACTAGTGTTGTCTCTGCTCTTCATGGTTTGACAAAAGATGACTCATGAAGACTCAGCCAACCCCAGTACTTCAAAGTCCCACGTCCTGAGATGAAAATGGAAAATGTGGTGACTGGAAACAAGAAGTTCTTCACACAATCCCAACCCAGGCTACCACAAAGCCACCTTAATCCTTTTGTAACTCTCTGAGTCCCTCAGCAAACCCACCACAAATTATTTTAATTCTAGACCAGCTTCCCCAAGCTACCCAGCTACCTACACCACTTCCCTTTTATCAGTGAAAGGAATACACAGTCTAGAAAAATTTTTTGGGAAAAACATATCACTTCAACAAATATTTTTGAATGCCTTGCGGCACTGTTTTGGACACTGGGGATACAGATATGAACGACACGACCATCTTTCATGGAGTTTACATTCTAGTCGGCTCCACATCAGCTCCATGGCTGACAAAAAAAAAAAAAACATGCTTTTTAGATTCTTCTTCATACCTTTAAACATACTCCAGCTTGTCATGATCTTTCTTAAAATGTGGCATCCCCAAATGGAGTGAAAACTCCATCTGAGTATTCTAAAATGGAACCTGGCTTTCCAGATCATAATGAAATTATAATCTTAACATTTATATTGACCTTCGTCAAAGTAGGAGGATCAAATATGTTTTACATTTGTTGGCTTTATTTATAACTCTTAAATATTTAGACCTGTGGGATATGAGCCTCCACTTGAACTCTGGTCTCAGGCCCCACCAGTATTAAGGGTCTGTGTGTCGACGGGAAAGTGTTGTTCCCCGCAGAATTAGTTTCTTACTCCTGGCATCAAAATCTGTAGGTTTAAATCCAATTTTATCCAAACAAATTAGCAAAATAGTGTACTTTTGTTAGGTACTTTCTGTTGCAAAAATCGGAGATTCATGAAGGTTAGCTGAAGCAAGGGAGCATTTAGTATAAGAATTTACATGGTATACGAGGGCATTCTTGCGACTCCAAGAACAGGAATTACAGTGCAACTTGGCCTTGCAGAGAGGCAAAGTAGGGCTAAGGTGGCTCCAAGGACCTCAGCAGGAGGGATCGTCAGCTGGTGCCCTGGCGATAACATGATTCCAAGCCGCTGCTTCTCTGGATGCATTTTTTTCCCTGCCATTCTTACTTGGATTCCTCCAAACCATATCTTCTCTCTGCCTCATAGCTGCTTCTTATTTGTGATCTGGCTGCTCGCAGGCGCTCTCCGTCCCCTCCAACGGAGTCTGTTTTCAGCATTTCCTCAGGCTGCCGCCTGCCTCATTTGCTCCGTATTTCTCAATTCAAGATTTCAAGGACAAGAATTGAATTGGATCTCCGTGCTCCTTTTGAGGAATACCTGTTCATCCTGGGCCAATTCGTAGCCAGGTTCCTGGAATGATTGATACATTTGGTGGGGCATGGCTGACAGCTTGGCCGTTCTTTGTTCGGCGCACATTCCTATCCAATCAGCTATCGCTGGAGGGGATCACACAGTAGAAAACACGGCTGCTGAGGGCTGGCTTGGTGGCAGGGCCTGCGGGAGAGGCAGTTTTCCTGAGAAGTGGCTGTGGGCACAGCAGACACCACGATTGTCCAGTACAGTGGTTGTGGTGAACGTGCCAGCCTCCCTGTCATAGTTCCTACAAATTCTTCAAGAAAACTTCATTTCCTGATTAACCACAACACACCACCATAGCATGTCTATTAGTGGAACACTAACCACCAATATATATTTCTTCTTTCTGTGGCAGGTATAAGGATTATTAAATTTTCTATCATCAGTGGTTCTGCCTCATTTTTCTGAGGTGCATGGGATAATGCTTCTTCCTCAAAATGTACATAATTCACTCTAGCTGGGGTCTGCGCCCCACTTAGTGGGAGCGGGCAGGAAAGATCTAGGTAAGGCATAAGCAGAATGTGAGGGTTGGGGTCCTGGGATCGATCCAGAGCTGGACTTGCCAGGGGGCAGATTGATGACTCTGAACCAAGGTCTTCACAAAATGCCAAGGAAAAAGATTGAGAGAGCCAAGTCCAGGTTGCAAGTCCAGAGGGCACAACGAGGTCAAAAAACAGGAGGCAATCCAAGGATCAGGAATTGGCAGAAGTGGAACAGATGGAGGGTGATGTGAGAACCGCTGAGACAGAGGCCCAGGTGTCTGCGTTTGCTTTCATGAACTTGCCAGGTGGTGCGTGGTGGACGTTGCAGAGCCTGTTTCTTTTCCTCCTCCCTTTAGTCCTGGTCACATTCTCTTGTCCCAGCCTCTGAGAGTCATTCCAACTCTCCTCCAGCACTTTGGAACCTTTTACTTTCTGCTGGGATTATTTCTTCCTGCCTGTCTCAGAACGGTCCAATTTTTTAATAACCCGGAGTTCAGTCTCAGTTGTCTCAAGCCCTGTAAGCCCTTTAACCAGTTTGCTTTAAAGAACAGTCTGGAAGATGAGTTTCACACCAGCCTTACAGGTCACGCTAAAACCATTCCCTCAGCGTGTGTGTGCTTGGAGATAAGGAACCGCAAGCTTCGTGTCTTCCCCAAGGAAACTCTGCTCCTGTATTGCGCATTCCTGGCAAGAGATGCTTTACACACTTGACGTTGCAAATCCAGCCCCACCCCACCCCTGATAATCTACAAAGGAGAGGTGACAGTTACGAAGGTCACATGTTATCACATCTCTGCTATGGTCCCACATCATCTCACAGATGCACACCCAATTCTTTTGGTGGGGTGATCCACACAACAAGCCATATTACCTTGTTCACATACCTGCCCATGTGTGGCACATTCCACACCTTTACTAGGTCTGAAAAAGACAAACGCACAGCTTTATAGTCAAAGATGATGCCATTGATAATTCCAAAGAGAACAATCTCCCGAAATGGCTCAGCTAACCCTAAGACCATTAAAATGTCACTGTTCCTAAGGACAACCTTCTAAGATCAATCATCAGTTGTCCTACTCACAAAGGACCAAGTCTGAACTCACATTTCCACCTGGAACAACTTTTCTTGTTACATACTCAAAATATCTGTGAAGTCACCAACCTAAGGGTGACCTCTAAGGGTGGGGTGTGTGTAAGTGGGGAAAAGGGGTTTGTACCTGGAATTCCTATTTAAAATGCATTTATAAATCATGGTCCAGGATGCCTGAAATCTTACTATTAGTGCTGTATCATGGGAGCATTGGAAACGAAATGGGGTTTTGTGGACTGGCATGGCAGTCAGACTCGCAGTATTAGCTCCGAGAAGCAACTTACAATTTTTGGGAACGTATCTTACTCATGATTTTGGGGCTGTCTCTAGCGTGTATGTCCTATCTCTTATAACTCCTTGTATAACAGAACACAATTTTTGTTGATAAATCATCAGTTATTACTTAAAGCAAACTCTCATCTTTCAAAAGCAATATTTTCTCCCTGAGATAATGTTTTTCCTGGTCAGGCTTGGTGGCTCATACCTATAATCCCAGCACTTTGGGAGGATGAAGTGGGAGGATTGCTTGAGGCCAGGAGTTTGAGACCAGCCTGGGCAACATAGCAAGACCTCGTTTCCACAAAAAAAAAACCAGAAAAATTACCTGGGCGTGGTGGTGTGCACCTGTAGTCCCAGCTACTTGAGAGGCTGAGGCAGGAGGACTATTCGAGCCCAGGAGTCTGAGGTTGCAGTGAGCTACAATGATGCCACTAACCTTGTCTCAAAAAAAAAAAAATGGAAAAAAAATGTTTTTCATGCTGCTTTTGAGGTGCCAGTTACTTGGTACTATTCCAATAGCCCTTAATTCTGTTTGCACTAGCAACTTATAAAGAACTGGTCACTTCACCCGAAATTTCTACCTATTCATTTACTCGATTGCGACATTAAGCAGGCATTATCTTGTTCAAGGCTATACTTCAAGAAATATTTAACTATTTACCAGTGGCTTTTGATGGGGGGAAACTGTTTATTGAATACACAGCATTTGCAACACCTGGGAAGAATTTAAATTGCCCAGATAAAACCTTCATCACAGTTACCACCGATTATAAAATGGCAAACAAAATCATTTCGCCCATGAACTTATTGTGGTAACTTACCTCCTCATTAACATAAACATGTAATAGGCGTATCACCTGGCTCTCTGACACTAGTATATAGAGTGTTCTGAAGTAGTTTAGAACTTACGCCAACACAGGCCTTTCTCAAACAACCAAGTAGTATTTTCTGAGTTTGCATAGTGGAGAAAATACAGGTGCTAAAAGACATGTTTACCTTTTTAATATGCAGTTCAATTGTTTTTCTTCAACAGTAACTTCATCTAACGTGCCATCAGAGGAGTTGCAAGTGGAATTAAACTGCTGCCCATCACAAAATCCTTTTTCTCTTAAACTCTTTATAAAAAGTCTCCTTTCTATGTACATTTAACTAAAATAATTAGCTACTTGTAAAGAGAGTACACATAGCAGCAGTATACATTTGAGTTGCTTTCCCCACATCTGTTATCTTACTTAAGAGCAAGGGGTTTGAGAATCAGTAAGAACTGAGTTCAAATTGTGACTGTCACAGTGAATATGACCTTGGACTAGTCACTTAAACTCTCTGGATCTTAGTTTTCTAACCTATAAAATGGGATTAATAACAAATATGACCTCACCGGGTGGTAAGGATTAAATGGCTAATATTTGCAAATTTCTTACCACAGATGTATACGTTCAATATATGGTAGATTTAATAATTATTCTTTAACAATTCCAGGCCAGGCACGGTGGCTCAGGCCTGTAATCCCAGCACTTTGGGAGGCCAAGGTGAAGGATCGCTTGAGCCCAGGAGTTTGAGACCAGTCTGGGTAACATGGCAAGACCCCCTCTCTACAAAAAAATAAACTTAATAATTGTCCTAACTTTTGTAAGTCTGCCAGGCAGTTACAATTATCCCTGCCTGGACAGATGAGTTTAAGTGACTTAAACGGGGTTAAACAATTCATTAGTGGCAGCACCAGGGATTCAGATTCCAGGCCCCAGTAGCCCACCCCCACACTGCATCACCCCCAGTCAACCTTATAGACTTTTATAGAATGGGACGCTGTGTCCAGCACAAGAAGCGAATTCTCCTTGGTGAAGGTCAGTGCCACAGGATGGGAAAGACCATGAGTGACCATAGGCTTCAGTACTGGAAACTCCTCAGGTTTTCCCAAGCAAAGGATAGCTGGACCAGAGGTATCTGCAATAATCACATTCCCCTGGTGATCAAAGGTCACGGCAGAGGCAGTTATTTTGGAGGGAAAGAAGAGGCTCAGCCCAAAAGTATCCACCTGGCCGAGGAGCTGCATGCTTGAGCTAAACACCTTCACCCTGGTGCTGCAGGCCCCAGTCCCCAGGGCCAGAGGGTGCTCTAGGACTGCAATGGCCCCGGTGAGCCAAGACACGGCCACCCCTCGGGGGTTGCACAGATGAGCTTGCAACCGTTCGGTTCTCCGAAGGACCCCTTCCGCGAAGTCGACTTCCAGGAGATGCAGGGACCCTGCCTCCGCATCAGTCACCACGACCCCATTCTGAGGGGTGGTCTCTACAGCCCAAGGTAAGGAGAATTCGCCTCCAATGACGAGCTTTATCTGACCAAAAAAATCAAACACTTTGATGGAACGATCGCCCGCATCAGTGACAACCACATGGCAGTCGTTGGTGACGGTGACATCTAGTGGGTACTTAATGTCTTGGGCAGCGTCCCCCTTCTCTCCAAACTGATGCGCACATCCTCCCCCGCAGTCAAAGATCCTGACCCGCCTCTTGCCGTCGTGCACCACCACGACCCGCCCTGTCTTGGGACAAAGCGCCAGCCCGGTGGGGTTGACCAGGGTCCCCCAGCCGCCGAAGGCGTGGTGGCAGGTGAGAGCCCCGGGAGCGCAGGAGGCGGTGCGGGGGGCGGCCGGAGACGGGCGAAGCGCGGAGCCCAGGAGCTCCAGGAGGTGCAGCACCGGCAGGCAGTCGCTGGTGTCGCAGCCCCGGCAGGCTCGCCGGCAGAAGGGGCACTCGAGGGCCAGCGTCCGCGGGTGCGCCAGGGCGGCCACGCAGGCCAGGCAGACCACGTGGCCGCACGGCAGGTTGCGCGGGCGCCGCTGCTGGCGGTGGCCGAACCTCTCAAAGCACACCTTGCACTCGAGCAGGCTGGTCTCGGCCTCGCGCACCAGCTCCCGCAGCTCGGGCCCGCTGCCCGAGGCCTCGGCCCCCATGGCGGGGACGCGGACGCTCCGGGCCAGCCGGACGCTGCCCCAGCGCCGCCCTCGGTCACGGTCACGGGGCGGGGCGTGCGCCCTGGCGTCAAGCGCGGCGGGCCGCGGGACTGCGACCTGCTGCCCCCTGGTGGTCGCGCGCGGCACTGTTACCTGGGGACTTGAACGTGGATATTTGCGAGACAAATACACGTATGTGTTGTGCAGACCTGTAATATTCTCAATAGTCTTGAATAGATTATCTTCACTGCACACATCAGGGAACACCTATTGAGGACAAGTGGGTTGCTCCCTATTACCCAGCTGGTAAGTGGCAAAGCAAGAACTTGAACCCAATCTTCCAACCCTGACGCCCAGCAATGTTTCCAACCTGCAGCGCTGGGTGCTGGGTGCTGGGTGCTGGGTGCTAGGGCTAGCCTGGCCTAAAACATGGTCCCTTAGCTCATGATGTTTACGATCTGACTGGGAAAACCCAGACACACGAGAGAAGTTAAATTCCAAGGGGGTGAGGCAGGTGTGCATATTTCTTTTTTGTCTTCTATCACACTCTTAGTGAAGTAGTTGCTAAATGAATATGCACTAGCAAAATGAATTTATGTATGAAAAAAGAATGTTATAGGAAAATACAAGAAATATACTAGGTGAGTGAGTGTCAGATGGGGGAACCATGGCTGGGAATGTCTTCCAGAGGAATTAATATGAAATAAGAACTAGCTGTTATAATAGTTAATAATATTAATGATAGAATTTACATGCCTGCCTTCTTTTAACTGGTTTAAATGGATTGTCTTATTTAAACTTCATGACAGTCCTATAAGGATGTGTTATTTCCATCACCTTTTTTTTCCTGATAGATTTTGTTGAGGTTAAATATTTTGCCCAGGGTCACATGGCTAGGAAGTGGCTGGGCTGAAATTTGCAGCCAGGCAGTTTGCAGAATCCACACTCGACTATATCAGTGGTTCTCAAACTTGGTTGCTCATGGTAAACACTTTGGTCGCATCCCCAGAAGTTTATTAATAATTGGTCCAGAGTGTGGTCTGGGCAGCTGGGATTTGTAAAAGCTCCCCAGGTGATTATAATGTGCAGCCAAGTTTGAGAACCACTGCATTAGGATAATTCCTTCAGATGGGAATAAGTTCAGTTTTCCCAGTTTCAGTTAAAACCAAAAGCAAAAAGAATCAGCCATAGGTTGGAAAATCCTCAAAGAGGAGATAGCACTCTCAAGAATCCATTGTGCTATTACAATCTCTCATTTTCAGTATATCCCTCCTCCACACCAAATGTCTTACACTTACATGAACAGTTGTCTTTGGCAAAACCACATATTAGATCATTTCTGTTCATTTAGAGATTCATAATCATGATCATTCACCCTCATTTACTACACTTCTGAGAAAACACGAGGTTTTATCCCCTGTTAAAACTCCTGGAGAGACAGCTTTGTTGTCAGACAAGAAAGAACATTTTCTCATCAAATGTTATATGATTCAAAGATTGTGTATTGGGACACAATAATCAACTTAATACTATAATTTCAGACTACATTTTCATTCCAAATAAATAATCAACTAAAATGACATCAAATAGAACTTTCTTTCTGAAGTAATTTTTAAGCCAAAAAATACATTCAGAGCCAGCTGGGCACAGTGGCATGTACCTAGTCCCAGCTATTTGGGAGGCTGAGGTAGGAGAATCACTTGAGCCCAGGAGTTCCAGTCCAGCCTGAGTGACATAGTGAGATCTCCATCTCTAAAATTAATATATATATATTTTTTTCAGGACACCAAAAATGGAATATTTTTAGAATTAGTGTTTTCTAATAGAAATATAATGACAGCCACATATATATTAAATTTTCTAGTAGCCACATTTTTAAAAGTAAAAAGAAAAGACAAAAATTAATTGTATATTTTATTTAACACAAAATATCCAAATTATTAACATTTTGAAATATAATCACCATAAAAATATTAATGAGATATATTATATTTTTTGTGCATACCAAGTAAAATCCAGTGTGTATTTTATACTCACAGCACGTCTCATTTCAGATCAGCCCCATTCAATGTGCTTAGTAGCCACATGTGGCTGGTGACCACCACATGGAACAGCACAGATCTAGCCCAAGTCTGTGCCATGATATATTGTTGCATTCTCAAGACACAACCCATATTGACTTCATTGATCCCTGACTTGTCTCTAACTTGCCTCTGCTCCAACATTGTTTTAAAACTATCCAAAGACCAGGTCATTATGTTAAGTGAAATAAGCCAGGGACAGAAAGATGAATATCACATGTTCTCACTCACATGTGGGAGTTAAAAATGTTGATCTCAAGGAGGTAGAGAGTAGAGTGATATTAATAGATACTGGAAGCTGAAAGGGTGGGTGGGTGAGGGGATGAAGAAGGGTAGGGTAACAGGTACAAACATACAGTTAGATAAAAGGTATAAGTTCTATTGTTTGACAGCAGAGTAGAGTGACTGTAGTTAACCACAATGTGTTGTATATTTCAAAGTTCTCAACACACAGAAATGATAAATACTCAAAGTGATGGATACCTCAAATACCTTGACTTGATCATTACACCTTCTAAGCATGTAACAAAATATCACATGTATCCCATAAATATGTAAAATATTATGTATCAATAAAAATTTTTAAAAAGCAAGATTATGCTGGGTGCAGTTTAGAGGCTGAGGTGGGAGGATTGTTTGAGGCCAGGAGTTCAAGACCAGCCTGGGCAACATAACAAGACCCCCGTCTCTACGAACAATTTTTAAAAGCTGGGTGTGGTGACACAGGTCTGTAGTCTCAGATACTTGGGAGGCTGAGGCAGGAGGATCACTTGAGCCCAGGAATTTGAGGCTGTCGTTAGCTATGATCGCACCACTGTACTTCGTCCGGGGCAACAGAGCAAGACTTTGTCTCAAAAAATAAATAAATGAATAAAGCAAGATTTAAAAAAAAAAAACTATCCAAAGACTACAAGTCATTGCTGTGGCTGAGCTTGGATCCTGCAGTGACATCCTGCCAGCCTATGTGTGACTAGCAGAAGAGAGGAGCTTGAGTGCTCAGCTGCCTGCTAAGTCTACCTCCTTCTTCTTCTTGATCCTTTGCTGCCCCTTCAGGGCAAACACTAGAACTGCACCATCAGCTTTGTGAGCCCCGGATTCCAGCCCAACCAACCAATCCCTTGCCTCAGGAGTGCAAAGAAGCAGAAGGTGTTTATCGAGGTAAACCAGAAAAAGCTGCAATAAATCTGACATACTTAGGATGTCATAGTAATCGCTCTGCTGCTCGGTAGTTGGACAGTACAGCGGTGCTGGAAAGCCCTCTGGCACATACACCGATGCTCTACCCTAGTGATACAACTGTCAAGAATCTAATGGTAAATGTAAAGCATGGAAATATAACTTTGTGGCATTTGAGTAAGAATTAAGGTTTTCTCAATTACGCAAAGCTTCAGAACTAAAACAATTTGGGCTCGAGTCTTGGGCAGTTGAGGATCCGCAGATCCCAGCTGGGCATCCTTAGCAATCATTTTCTTCATCCTCCGCTGCCTCCCCCTGGAATCAGCCAGTTCCTGTCCCAGGGCTCCTGTCACCCCGCCAGCACTCCCTCCCTTCACTGTCCTTCTTCTGCTTTACTAAGGACTTGGAGTCCAATCAACCTTTTTGTTCACTCTAAATTGCTCCTTATTTTCATCCCATCTTTCTTTCGCTCCTCTCTCTGAACAAATAAACTAAGTTCTAGGTGGACAGGAACCATGCCTGGTTTTGTTCAAAACGGTATCCCCAGCGTCTGGCTCAAGCCTGACCCACAGTGGGAGCTCAGCAGATATTTTTAAAGTAGATGAATGAATAAATACTTCAAAGAATTCTGTTTACAGGCAGCAAACCTGAATGCTTATACCTTTTCTTTCATGTTTCTCCAGTATTTATAGGAAGCATTGTTAGGAAAATAGCATTTAACCATTGATTAAATGATTAATAACAGAAATGGTTTGAATCTCCCTCTAACATTTTGAGTTTCCTATGACTATCCTTTCCTCCCCATGGCTGAGCCTCCATGGATTTTCTCTGTGCTTCCCTCCAATATTGCTCATTTGGAGGGTCCTGGAGTAGCATACCCATCTCTTCCTTCTTCCACCTAGAACGAGCCCTGAGGGTTGTGAGGGCCAAGAGCTTGAAGGGTAGAACTTCTAGTTTCTGAAGTGGTCAGTGACTGACCTAGGTGCAAAGCACCACACAGCCGTGGAAAGAGAATAGACACCAGCTCAGGATGGTGGCAGCAGAGAAGAGAGTGCAGGGGGAGCGTGGGGTGGGCAGGGGAGTCAGTGCTTAGGCAGTGGGTTCCTGGTTGTGCAAGTGTGGCAAGATGTGCCAGACACACGCAGTTTAGGAGGAATCCCAGAACAAGTCCGATGACCCAATTACATCTCAGACAGCCTGACAGGGATGCAAGAGAAAGGAAGAGGAGCAAGCCACAGAGAACAGAATTGTCTCAATCGGGGAGGAGACGTGCAACCTTTTAAAAGACAAGGAGGCTGGGTGTGGTGGCTCATGCCTGTAATCTTAGCATTCTGGGAGGCTGCAATGAGAAGATCACTTGAGGTCAGGAGTTCAAGACCAGCCTGAGCAAGAGCGAGACCCTGTCTGTACAAAAAATAGAAAAATTAGCCGGGAGTGGTGGCACACACCTGTAGTACCAGCCACTCGGGAGATTGAGGCAGGAGGATTGCTTGAGCCCAGGAGTTTGAGGCTGTAGTGAGCTACGATGGTGCCACTGCACTCTAGCCCGGGTGACAGAGCAATACCCTGTCTCAAAAAAAAAAAAAAAAAAGAAAAAGAAGAAGAAGAAGACAGAAAAAGAGAAAGAAGACAAGGAACAGAAACAGTAGGCGCTTTACCATGGGCTTGTGAACCTACAGAAGCTAAAACTTGCTACCTTTGCCAACCTGGATCCTTCCTGGGTTGATCAGTTTTGTTTCAGGCCAATCTCAGGGTACCTCCTTCCCAGGTGAATCCCGTGAGGTTCCTTGGACTCTGGCCTGGGCTTTGTTGCCGTTTCCAGCTTTGCCCTCTCTCCAGGGACATCTCGTCTTCCCAGTGCCCACTCTGACCACCACTCCAATTTTTAAACTCATGCCCCATACTCTTGGCTTCTCTGAGGTGAGGCATTTGGCAGGAAGAGGAACAGTGGTTCGGTATTGAATTTTTTGAGCACCTACAGAAAAATGAGCTGGAGCTATATGGTTGGAAACGGGAATCTAGAGATTTGAGTGCTTCTCAAATTTGATACAATTGGGAGTGTTCCTCAGGGCACCAGCCTTGGTCTTTTTCTCTTCTCTCCCTGAGCAATGTCACCTTCGCTTCCTCATGGTTCAGATGGCCACGGGAAAGCGGACGGCCACCTGCTTGTCCTCTAAGGCAGCCTTACTGTGTTCTATCGTAATGTTCAATGTCAGTTCCCTTCGCTATAACCTAGGACTCCTGAGAGCAGGACTGTCTTCATTTATCATTAAATCTCATCTCCTCGCACACGCAATAGCACTTACATTTGTTGAATGAATGCCGATTCCGATAGCAGGAGAAAGATTAATAATAATGATAGTTCCATATGACAGAACATTAAACAGCTAATACAAAATCTTGTTTTTGAAAAATATTTAGTGACACAGGAAAGGGCTAACAAACTAGAGGGTGAAATGGCAGAGATACAATACTGCATCTTAATAGGACTGCAACCTTATAAAAACATACACATGTATGAGCAGACAAAAAAGATGAGAAGAAGGCCACCGCGGTGGCTCACGCCTGTAATCCTAGCTCTCTGGGAGGCTGAGGCGGGCGGATTGTTTGAGCTCAGGAGTTTGAAACCAGCCTGAGCAAGAGTGAGACCCCGTCTCTACTAAAAATAGAAAGAAATTAATCGGACAACTAAAAATATATAGAAAAAATTAGCCGGGCATGGTGGCGCATGCCTGTAGTCCCAGCTACTCGGGAGGCTGAGGCAGGAGGATCGCTTGAGCCCAGGAGTTTGAGGTTGCTGTGAGCTAGGATGACGCCACGGCACTCTAGCCCAGGCAACACAGTGAGACTCTGTCTCAAAAAAAAAAAAAAAAAAAAAGATGAGAAGAAAACACATCACCATCTTAGTGGTAATCATCTCCAGTGATAGGATTTGGTTGCTTTTGTTTTTCTTTTTTTGACTTTCCTATAGTTCCCAAATTTTCAATGAGAAAACATCATTTTTCTTATTATTTAAATATAATTGAATGTTAATACTTTATGGTGTATTTTATTTCTAAATACTTGCCTTGATTATCCTCCTTCTATCTGCTATTGAGAGTTAACACCAATAGTGAAATAAATTTCTATTAATACCCACTGGTTAGGGATCACAGATTTTCACACATGTATTTTCAGTTCACACATTAAAGCTATACTGAATTAATAAATCTGGGACTTGATTATTTGCTGCAAACCAGTAGAGTGGCTATGCTTAAGGTATGAATATGGAATTTTATCCTATTTCCATTAACTAACCCATTCTTGTGATTGTAGTATAACTTTTTAGAAGGCAAAAAGTACATTAGACAAGAAATGATGGAAAGTCAGAGTTGTAAGGATTGAAGATAATTTGGGGCTGGGAGCGGTGGCTCATGCCTATAATCCTAGCTGGGAGGCCGAGGCAGGAGGATCATTTGAGCTCAGGAGTTTGAGAACAGCCTCAGCAAAAGTGAGATCCCGTCTCTACTAAAAATAGAACAATTAGCTGGGCATCGTGGTGTGTGCCTGTAGTCCCAGCTACTGAGGAGGCTGAGGCAGTGGGATGGTTTGAGCCCAGGAGTTTGAGGTTGCAGTGAGTTACAACGACGCCACTGCACTCTACCCGGGGTGACAAAGCGAGACTCTGTCTCAAAAAAAAAAGATAATTTTGATTTTTAAAAAGTGTTGAGTAGAAATCTTTCTTTGAAAGCTCTTTAAAGAGTATGTGCCACATACATATATACATGTATGCATAAATACACATCTAAATTGTTCTCTTTTAATACAGTAAAACAACTTCAGGTAAGCACTACGGTTTTGAATGGGTAAATGCTTGGACTGGTATCTCTGTGGGTCAGGCTTCTATCTGTCACTTCATCCTGCCCTGGAGGCCACTTTCATCTGGAGCTCTCACCCAGGTCCGTCCTTCAGGCCACCTTCTGTAGTCCTCCTCCTATTAACACTTTACAGAACCAATCTCGGCCTTGTCAGAGGGAGGTGTTAAAGCTTTGATTATATTCCTTTGTATTTTTCTTTCCACATTCACCCAAATAGATGTATTATTATATAGTTTCCTTGTTTCATCCTGTTTCTGATAACATTAAGAGTGTCTCTGCTGGTGCATTCACGCCTGCTGTGCAGGCCAGGCAAGGCGTTTGGTAAATCACTATGTATAGGACACAGAGGCTTAGGTAACTTAAATTACAAAATTAAATAAAAGGCATTTGTGGAACATCCTGAAAATAATTCAATTGCTCTAAAATAATCTATATGTAGTATATCTTCCCTCGAGACTTTAAAAAAATTCAGTATTTCTCCAACAAAGACACATATCACATAAAAGATTAACTACATAAGGATATCTCATTTGTATTATTTAAGATTCTTTGGGTGCAAGTTACAGAAACCAACTCTAGCTAGAGCAAGAGAAGAGTACTATGTCACAGAAACATGGAGAGTTCTTTCCCTACTCTGCGCAGTTGGGTTCTGCAAGGACGAAAACAGACCAGAACACTGGTGGCCTCTTTGGGTTTTTTTTTTTTCCCCAATAGATTTAGGGGGTACAAGTGTTTTTTGTTACGTGGGTGAATTGTATAACGCTGCCTCTGGTTTTCATCTCCGCTCCTCTTTCTGCAGGTCAGTATTCTTTCTCAGATCTATGTGGCAGAACACGGCTGCCCCACATCTCCTGGGCTTACATGTTAGTTTTACCCTCCAAACAGCTAACCTGCCTTTCCAGTCCCAAGTCCAGAAATCTTTGAAGAGAATCACATTGGTCCAGCTCAGGCTAATTGTCCATTCTTGGTGCATGCAACTGGTGACACAGGTGGAGCTGGGCAGTCCTGGCTCTTGGAAGCCCACACTGTGGATGAGGGGCAGGTCTCAGAGAAGCAAGACTCACTGTGAGCAAGGGAGACACTCCAGATTGAAAGCTTTGTAAGTATAATAGAATAGATCAGTGGCAGAGAGCTTCTAGAGCAGCAGTTCCTAAATGTGGGCCAAGGGAGCAGAGAGGTCAACAAGACATCTCTGGGGAGAGTAACCACAGCTTTCATCAATATTGGAGTCCAAAAACCTTCCCATTAACAACCTTTAATTCGAGACATACACACACACACACACACACACACACACACACACACACACACTCGCACTCACTCTCACACAATTAGGAAACTCGTGTTTTATAATACACACCATCCTATTAACATGAACTAAACAATCTAAACCATTCAGCTATTAGGTACAGCAGGGTTAGAGAGGAATGTCTGATTTAACAAAATGAGATTGTTAATGAAAAATTGAGAAACTTTGAATCTAAACCTTGATAATGAACAGCCATGAATCTAGCCCTAAGTATGTTATACTTCATTAGACTTGATCATTTAAACAGATTAAAAGAAACAATAACTCAGGTAAAACTTTTTAATTCTCAATTTATTCTTACATTGGGAAAAATACTGTGTTCCATATAGGTTAGTTTGTTTAATTAAAATTTCTTGTTTCTTGATTCTTTTACATATAAAATTACACATGGAAAAAACATGTGAAAAGGGATGTTAGGATTTGAGTATAAGATGAGGGTTTATAGTAAAAGCTAATCTTTTACATAACTTTTGGGACTACCTTGAACCCTACTAAAGTATTATATTTCTTCAATCATTCTAAATTTCATAAGGAATGTAATTTTTCTATGTTTATTATATTTAAGTTGTATGCATTGTTTTTCTTTTATTTTTAATTATATAGGTAATATACACTAATTGTAAAAAATTCTTGCAATGTATAAAAGACACAGGTATAATCTTTCACCCTCATTATACTCTCCTCTCCAAAGGAGCCCTTTCAACATTTTAGTATTATTTTCTGCTAAAAAGTTATATGCCTTTTTGAGCAAAGGTCTATGACATGATTATGAACCATTAAAAAAAAATTTCATCCATTAGATTTTCAGGCCTTAGCATAATTTTCAATTGCTCAAAAACATGTTGATGTTACTCGATTTTATATATATCTCATTTATTTTTCTGTAAGTAGATACAACTCTTCAAAAATATAGTTAATTCCCCAACTTATATGTCGTTCTTCAAAAACATCAACCTTCTCAAGACAATGAATATTGCATATTGTACCTGAAACAAGGAGAATGGGCAACAAGTTAAAACATTATAAGGAATGACATCAGGGGTTCTTCTAAAAATGCTTCAAATAATTTTAAAAATAGTATGTACTGGAACTGTTCCCCTTCTTTTTAATCAAAATGGGGAAATACTAAGGGCAGATTTTCTAAACTCTGAATTGTTATCACTTATAGCTCCCAAGAGCAAAAATAAATATGCTATCTCTCTAGAAAAGTTTAAATGTCTTCAACATAAAGCATATAGCTAAAAAGACACATTACAGAGACTGGTTCCTTTTCTGGAATAAAACAATCTTCAATAAAATTGTCTCTAACTTTTAAATTTTATATACATACTTTAGATACTAATAGTTCACTAACGGCTCAAAACAGTTAACCATTGACTGTATTTAAAAAGTTATAGCAAAAGTTATAGCATAACTTACCAAACAATCTTTTAATTTCAGCAGCTGGAACATAAAACGGTGGGCCTAAGTAAAAGAGAAATGCAGTGAAGATTAATTTCTATAAATCTTCTAATTCTAAAGAGAAATAAATTCTCAGGACCCACCTCTCAGCTTATTTCCAATGACCTGGGTGTATTTATTTTAAATTCAACTTAATTATTCAAATAGGTGACTATGAGGCATGTTCTCATTGTTCTTTTGCAGATCTCATACCAAAGAAGTAAACTGGCTTAGTGAGGGGATGGCAATGTTATGTGCCCATCGCCAGCCCAGATGAGACAGCCAAGCCAGCCGAGTGTCTCAGGAACATTGAAATGAGGGTGGAATTCATCAGCAAATTCCTTTGGGTTTTCCTTCATCTTCCGGGGTATTGATTTTCTACTGACTCCTGCACTCACCCACATTCTATACACCCCTCCCACTCTGCTGCGGGATGTGGATTTTATAGGGAACCTTAGTTCTGCCCCATTCGAGAGCAGTATTCTGAGTCTCCACCTTCAGACAGAGCCTGCTGTGTTTTCTTCCCACAGGCCCTTCCTTAGGCCTCCTGTTCATGAACAGAATTTAAATCAGATTAGCAGAGCTAACTGCTGTCTCCATTAATTTCTATTTTCATCTGATGGTCTCAGACTTAATTAAGGATATTAGGTCTCATCTTTTAATGAGTTTTTAAGACCCGATTTACTCAAATAGAAAAAAAAATACTAACATGTAAATATTTATAAAACAAGGCACTTTAGAAACTCAATTAAAAATCAAAAAGGGAATTTTTACAAATTAAAAGTATATGTATTTTGTTTTCACTTCTCCCTGAAAACAAAAGTCTAGGCATGACAAAGGATCAGTTTCAATGTTCAAATGCATCGAGTGAGTCCAGAAGAAAACATGTATTTTACAGATTCAAAAAAGAATTATAAAAGAATGCAATAGATAAATTATAAAATTTCACAAGTTAAAAAACAGCAACAATTTAGACATTTTCCTGCACAATTCCTCCCTCTCCACATCTCACCCTGTCCTCCAATGAGGGTGTACATTTGTGTGTGCAGACAGCAGCCCAACACATCGTTACCGCCATGGATGGCAGGGGGTATGCAGTATCCATAGCAGGGCAACCAATTTCTCCTTCCTCCTAATCTCATGCGATTTTTATATTAGGATCATCATTTCCCCCCTCCTCTACAGTTTGAGCTATGAATGGTGGGCAAAATGGGAGAGGAATGCAAGAAAAACATGCACAGTTTGGAAAGAGAAAAAAATGTTTATAGTTCCCATTAGCCAAACGTGGAATTATCTTCATGTATACAAGCTTCCTGTGAGATGAATTAAGAGAAAATAATTCTTATCCATGTCACAGAATTACATCAGGAAATTAGGCAACTATAAAAAGAGGGAAAAAAACACTTTACCTGGATGTTTAGTTGGATCGTAAGAGAAAATGGCCAGGAGGTACTGAAACCCTTTTCTCAGGAGGGACAGCATTATATCTGCGTAGCTAAAAAGAACACAAGAAGGTATTTGTTAACATTTCTCTACACAGGCAAAGGCTGCCTGGGTGGGGGGCTAAAGGCAGGGAAGGAAGCTGGCATTTGCTTTCAGCGACATTACTGAGTTTAATTCTCCTAACAATCACATGAGGTCGATTCTCATTTTAAAAGCGAGAAATGGGCTCAGCAAATTATGTCCCCTGCCTAGGCTGGGAAACGGTCAAGATGGGAACCAAACTGAGGCCTGCATCCAGTGCGGTCAGACCAGAAGACCTCACATAAGCATGAGCAGGGGCTCCTTCCAGCATGACGCAGTACGCGGGGCCTGCTGACCTCGGACGTACTGCCTGAAGGACTGCCGGGCTTCTGCATGCTGGAGGATTGCCGGTGGTTCCTACACCAGGCCGGATGTCAAAATCTCCTGGGTGCTTGTTGAAAGAAAAGACGCTTGAGTTCCATCCCCACTGACTGATGCAGTAGGTCTGCTCTGGGGCCTGGGATGCTGCAATTTAACACATATCCCAGGTGACTGGGACCTCTCCAGGGGCGTTATGTAAGAGGTACAAAACATAATCCCTTTCCTCTATTTACCTGGAGAGAGACAAGACTAACAAGCAGGCAAAAAAAAGCGGCATTAAATTAAAGTTCCACAAATGTGGCATAAACCACGAGTGCTGCTGGAACGTCCTTTGAGCAGGTGCCTGAGGGAGCAGGTGACACCACTTTCCAGCCAGGTCTGATTGGTTCAGAGTGGGGGCCTGACCCTAACAGGACCCATCAGTAGACTGACCAGGACCTGATACAGAATGTTGAGTTGGATCAATCAAATGACACACTTGGACATTAAGAGACCAAAGAGGAATTTCTAGTAAGCTGTGGTCATTGTACTGAAAGTTAGAGCTTTTGTGCTGTGTGGAGCTTGGAGCAAGGAGGCGGAGGGTTGTCAGCAAGTCAGCTATATGGGGACAGAAATGGAGTAAGCAGAGGGGTAAGGACAGGAGGATAGAGGCGATGCATGCAGGGAGGTGGGGATGCCGTGAGAGCCAGGCCCACAGGGATGGACAGACGCCCCCGCTCAAGGGAGGAACCTGCCCATACTGTTTGAGCTCAGGCATCTCACACCCCAGCTCCTCCACTCGCTGGTTATGTAAGCTCGACAAATTCTTAACCTCTCTGTGCCTCAGTCTCCTCATCTGTAAAATGGGGGTAAGACTAGTAAACATCTCACAAGTTGCTGTGCGAATTCAAGAGTGGATCAGTCTTCTTCGCAGGTGAAAGAACCAAACCAAAGCAAACTTGTGAGCAGAAACCTTGACTTCTTAACTTTCTAATTCTTGTTCTTAAGAAGAGGTAGGAAGAAACTTGCTGTCCCCATGAAGGTGATCAGTCAGACTGGTTTGGCAGGGTTTCCTAAGATGGACAGACTTCATTCCTTTTGAAATGTGGACTTTCTCTCTCAACAGTCTCAAAAAATTCAGAAAAAGGGGAGAGGTAGGCCCCACTGATTTATGTTAGGCAATAGCTCAAGAGTTACAGCAGAAAATACATAAGTACACGACAATGGGCAATCCAAGCAGAAGACAACCAGTACTAACAATAGTACTGAGATAGAGTACTAACATACTAAGTACCAAGATATTAAGTACCAGTATGTAAAGTAGTTTACCTTTCTATTGGTTCAAAGTAAGCAGTTCTTTTGGTAACAAAGGCCAACATGTTCTCAGGTGCGCTTGGGCTGGTGACCACACAAACATACACGCACACACACACTCACACTGCCGGGAGGAGAGGGAAGAGGTAGAGTAGGAGAACCAGGGAGGACACAGAGTCTATGGCCAAGCTAGAACAGGATTCCCTAAATCAGAGTTCCAGAAGGGTCCTCACTACTGCTCATTAACCGTGAATAAACAGTTCAGAGTCCACTCAGATGGCCTTTATATCCCAGGACAAATGACATGGTGATGGTTGGCAGGAAACAGTCTATTTCCCTTGCACTGAGTCCAATTTTCTTCCATACATTTATTTATTTATTTGTTTGGGACAGAGTCTTGCTCTGTTGCCCAGGCTAGAGTGCCGTGGCATCACCCTAGCTCACAGCAACCTCAAACTCCTAGGCTCAAGCGACCTTCCTGCCTCAGCCTCCTGAGTAGCTGGGACTAAAGGCATGTACCACCATACCCGGCTAATTTTTTCTATTTTCAGTTGCCCAGCTAATTTTTTTTTTTCCATTTTTAGTAGAGACAGGGTCTCGCTCTTGCTCAGACTGGTCTCGAACTCCTGAGCTCAAGCGATCCTCTGGCCTTGGCCTCCCAGAGTGCTAGGATTACAGGTGTGAGACACTGCACCCAGCCTCCTCCATACATTTATTAAAAAAAATATTTATTAAGGGCCAGGGACAGTGGCTCACGCCGAAGCCTATGCTTTTTCGACAAAGCTGGTATTGGACTTAGGTCTTCTAATTCCAAATACAATAAACTATTTCAAATTAGTAAAAGTCCAGTTAATTTTCTGCAACTCAGAAAAAGTACAGCACACTAAATTAAGAAGGCAAAAAGAAAAAAACAAAAAGAAAAACCAGCATAATTAAAGAAACCAAATTACTTACTGTTCACGATCACCAGGATTAATGGCAACTAATGCTCCTCTATCCCAAATCCTGTCAAATTTGCCAATATTTGTTCTACCAGAAAGGAAGAGAAAAAAATGCAACATTTTATGTAAAAAAAACCTCAAATCTTTAACAGACTGAACCATGCCCGCCATGGTGCATGCTGGTATTCCACCAATTGTCAAGAAATTAAGATCCCATGTCTGCTTTTCCTCATAGAGTCCATAAGGATGTACTGACCTGGGTGTGAGGACTGTCTGCCTCCTCATGCTGGTAGGAGCCTGAGGCAGCAGCCTCCCCATTCTGATATGACCTGGGAGCATGAATGAGGAACAAAGCACAGTGTGTGACAACTCTGCTCCTCCCAGCCCCTGGCTTTCAGGAGATCTCGCCTCGCTCTGCACCTCCAAATTCATTTCTGTTACAGGCCCACGTGCAAGGTAGAAGACACCGTCTTACTCTCTCTTCCTTTTCTCTACCTGCCTTGGGACACAATAATGTTTCCCATGGTTTGGGAGCTATCTAAGGACAAACATATTAAGTGTGCAGACATCTAGGCTATAATAAAAACAACTGCAGAACAGAGACTCGAATCAATGCTTTGTGGATGTTACAAAAGGGGATGGGAATGATGAAAAGACCTCTACCCTCACGCCCACACTGCCTAGCAAGCACTCAAATTTGTAAAAGTACAGCTGTAGTGTTCGGTCCTACCTGGGAAGATCAAAAATGTTGCAACAGTACAATGAGATGTTCCCTGAAGAACTCTGTAATGAAACAATGAAAAAAATTTTTTCTATTTACTTAGGAGATACTTGAATGGTCAAGGTGCCCATTCAAGGGCCCAAGCAAAGTGTTAGAGAGAGAATGTATATTGAACATAATTAAATACTTTTACTGTACTTTACTGGCACCTTTTTTCTTTTAAAACCTGTGTGGGGTTCTCTTGGGTCCACTCACAGAGAAAAATCTTAGACAGGGTAACCCTGAAGATTAGTTAGCTATTTATTATTCATTTCAGAGCTTGCTATAAAATTCTAGCAACGTCTCCCTGAGCAGATCCTAATATTTCAACTCTGCTAAAGTTAAATCTGCAGGTCATGCAATGACCAGGAATGCTGATAATAGATAGGCCAGATATGTTAAGTTATTCATGAAACATGCACTTGTGCTGATTCTCTTGGTTTCTGCTCATTGATGTAGCTAATGAGCATTTATTTACTGAGCACCTAGTGGACAGGACACCTCTCCTGGGTTCTAGATGGTAGATGTGAATTCGGCACAGTCTCTGACTGCAAGGAGGACAGCCTGGAGCGGAGAGGTGTGGGCACAGAGAAACACTGCGATATAAAATTGTCTGTACTATTATGGTTGTGCACCTGAGAACTACGTGAACACAGAAGACAGAGCAGAGGCCTGCCTGGAAGCAGCAGGCTTTTCAAAGGGTGTCTTGGTGCATCTGCTGATGCATCCAGGGGGTGGGCTGGGAGTGCACCCGTGGGGGAGCAACATGAGAGACTTGAGCAGTCTGGGAGCGGGCATGAATGGCAGGGTAGAAAAGGTGTGTCAGGACATGAGACTACCGGATTTTATTCTGAAATAAGGTGCCCACACGGATTTACAAGCAGAGGAGGAAGGGTCTTTGAACACCAGCCTGGGAGTACTGTGGGTCAGCCCAGAGAGGGGTGGGCCTGGAGGCAGGAGAACAGCTGGTAGATTTCAACTTAGCCTGCAGATTGGGATCACTAGGGAGCTTTAAACTGTGCCGACGCCAGGGCCCCACTCCTGGAGATTCTTATTGAATTGCCCTGAGGTGAGACCTTTGCTTTGGAAATTTTTATAAGATCCATAGATGATTTCAAATATGCAGCTGTGGCTGGGAACTGCTGTTCCAAGAGGAGTCTGGAAGTAGGACTAACCTCTTTGGACTGAATAAACTCCTTGGATTTTTTAAATGATTTGGGAATGGGCTGTGAGGAAGCTATAAAATAAGGTACAATTAAGCTTCCTACTGATCTTAGCAATTAATTTCATTATTTAGAAAAAAGTACTTTGTGAGAGACTGAATATACAAATGGACGATGGCCAGACCCTAGATCGGGGGTCCCCAATCGTTTTGGCACCAGGGACCGGTTTCATGGAAGACAATTTTTCCATGGATGGGATGGGGCGGGGGGAGGCGGAGCTCAGGTGGTGATGCCAGTGATGGGGAGCAGCTGTAAATACAGACGAAGCTTTGCTCGCTCGCCCACCACTCACCTCCTGTTGTGCAGCTCCCGGGTTCCTAAGTTTCACGGAAGACAATTTTTCCATGGAGTGGGGCGGGGGGATGGTTTCAGGATGATTCAAGCACATTACATTTATTGTGCAGTCAAACCTCTCTACTAACGATAATCTGTATGTGCAGCCACTCCCCAGTGCTAGCATCACCGCCTCAGCTCCACCTCAGATCATCAGGCATTAGATTCTCATAAGGAACGTGCAACCTAGATCCCTTGCATGCTCAGTTTATAGTGGGTTTTGTGCTCCTATGAGATTCTAATGCCTCTGCTGATCTGACAGGAGGCAGAGCTTACGTGGTGATGCCAGTGATGGGGAGTGGCTGTAAATACAGATGAAGCTTTGTGTGCTCGACCAATGCTCACCTCTTGCTGTGCACGCAGCCTGGTTCCTAAACAGGCCACAGACTGGTACCACAGCTCTAGATGACAACAGAACTCTGACCCACAACCTCTGCAGCAACTGGCCTGGAAGCCAAACCACAACTTCTGCAGCGACTTGGCCAATGACTGCCAGCTTCCCCAATTTTTACCACCACCCCACTTCTAATTCAGGACCGACTAGAGAAAGGCAAATATGCTCCCATAACCAATCATATAGGATGCCCTGTTTCTAGTTGCCCACCTCCCATCAGCACACACCTGAAACCTTTGCTTTTGCCCACTGCAAATCTTTCCCACCCCGCTGCCTGCCTGTGAGTCTCTGCCAAACACAAATGGCTGACTCTCTCTGAACACACAGCCTCTGCTTGTCTCACTGGGGTGGTATATATTTATTTCCACGTTATTACTCCAAACTGGTGAAGCAGTTACACTGGATCATTCTGGTCATAGGTTGAAGACAACTCCCAAACTTATAATTTCCAGCCCAAACACCATCCTGTGCTTCAGAGATGTAAAACCTTTGTCATGCCACAGGTCCCTTAAACTCAACACCTTCAAAAGAACACTCATTTTCTCTGTCATTCAACTTGCTTCTCCTGGATTCTCTACCATCCAGCCAGTCATCTGAGGTGGAAACGTGAACCCATCACTCCTTTGGTTCCCCACTCAATTAGCCACAAAATTCTGTAGGTTTGACATTGTAAACATTGCTTTAATCCATCTTATACACTCTGTGTGCCCAATCATTCTCCTTATTTAGGCCTTCGTGATCTCTTTCCTGGACCACTGCCCACAGACTGCTACCTGGTCTCTCTGTCAGGAGGCTACCTCCCTTCAAATTACTTCCCATAAAGGGGATTTGTCTCAAAAGAAAATCTGGCCATGTTATGCTCCTATGTAAAACCCTGCTGTGCAGTATGAAGTACTAGCTTCCCAGGGCATCTGAGACCATGGACCTGAGCCATGCCTGTCTCCAGCCTTACCTGTCACCGTGCTGCAGGAAGCAGCCCCAGCCTGCACTGGGTAACACTGTTCCCCACGTCTTTAGACTTAGCTTCATGTATTACAAAGAGCTTTATCCCTGTTTCTCTTCTCTCCTAAGCTATGAGATTCTTTTAGGGTAGAGACTGTGTTATCTTTATCTCTTCAGTGTCTTAATCAGAGTCTGGAATATGATAGGTTCTCAAAAAATGCATTTGAGAAAAACCAAACAAACCTAAAAACAAGAGTATAGAGAGACTTTGATCTCAGCTTTTATACATACTAATATAATGTCTAGGTGCACGTATGTGATAAAGAGAAGCCCTCTGACACGTGTATAGTGCCCTCATTTACTCATGCTGAGAAAACCTTTTTGTGGGGGCATGGAAACAATTTTTCACCCAAACCAAAACAAACCTTAAATATTTTGGCTCCAGGAATTTCTGTGATTGGTTCTTCTGAGTAAGAAAGATTCTGCTCTGTAAAAAATTCTCGTATCCCAAGTTCACTGATTTCCACACCAACTACAGTGTGTCCCAGGTCTGCAAACCTGCATAGAATCACACATTTACACTTAAATTTTTTTTCAAATTCAGTACTAAATAAAGGGGTATTCCCCAATAAACATATATTTTCCTCAATTCTTTATTTTTTTTTTAATTTAAAGATTTTTTTTTTAGAGATAGGGTCTCACTCACTCTGTACAGCCTTGAACTCCTGGGCTCTAGGGATCCTCCCATTTCAGCCTCCTGAACAGCTGGAGCTACAGGTGTGTATCACCAAGACTGGCTAATTAAAAAAAATCTTTTGTACAGACAGGGTCTTGATACATTGCCCAGGGTGGCCTTGATCTCTTGGCCTCACACACTAGGATAATAGATGTGAGCCACCACACCTGGCCACATTTTCCTTAATTTTAAGTGATTTATATGAATTTAGGCTCACAGGGTTTCATAGAACCAGTAGAAAAGTGGATCTATGTATTTCAAACCTCATGTTATGTGGAATTCTGAAAAATTGACTTATATGACCTTAGGAAAAAATAAAAAATTTGCAAAATTATATCTTAAAATATTGACTAATACAAATGCATTTGACTAGGGGAAATGCTTTCAATTTCCATAAATGAGCGTTGTCCATTAAAATTTTCTGCAATGCTGACAATGTCTATATCTGTGCTGTCCAACGCAACATCTATCGATCAATCATATTGGCTATTGAATACTTGAGATATGGCTAATCTGACTGAAGAACTGAATTTTAAATTTTCTTCTAGTTTAAATTTAAATAGCCACATATGGCTAGTAGCTACTGTATTAGAGCACACAGCTCTAGGACATTAGCATCCAAAAAAAAAAAAAATTAGCTGGGTGTGGGGGCACACACCCGTAGTCCTAGCTACTTGGGAAGCTGAGGCAGGAGGATCGCTTGAGCCCACGAGTGCCACTGCACTGTAGCCTAGGTGACAGAGTAAGACTTGGTCTCTAAAAAAAAAAAAAAAAAAAAATTACCAGGCTGATGAGGAAAATGAGAGTTAGGTCGCAACATTAAAAAAGTCAGTAGAACATTAAAAATAAAAAAGACAGGAATCTAACAACAGTTTTATACATGGTAAATGGTTACGAAACAGATAAATACCACAATGTGGCACTTTACCTTGAAAAGGACCTAAAGTTTACTTGTAGAACTGTCTGTTGGAAGGGTTGCAGTTCATGAGTCACTGTGAAGGGTTTTTGGAAATCAAATGTTAAGTTGTATAATAATAATAGCTGTGGATTGGAGAGGTTTATGCACCTGAGGTAAACTGACGTAACTGGGAGATGTTTCAAGTATGTGCATGTGTGCATTTTGTCTGTTCATACATGGCTTAGTTCAGTTGGGTGTAGTTTGCTGCTTTATACCTATGGCTTCTTGCAGACAAAATCACACACAAATGTGAAATTCACTTCATGCTCAAATTGTTCCCAGTTGAGTTACAATTAAGTTCATAGTTTCAAAACAAGAGATACAGCAGGACTGATTGTACCTATTATCTACTTAAGAGCACAAGCTTTCAATGTGGGCAGAGCATGAACTATTCTGAATGAAATATCTTAATAACTTACCTGTCATATTTCCTAGGAAATGTATAAGCTAACATAATAGGGAATATACTTTTATTCTTCATACATTTTTTTGAAGTTATAAAAGGTAAACAAAAAGCTATTCAAATTGACTGCATGCATTTTTATTTCCTGTTCAACATACAGAAAAATGAAGCATAGCCTACTACAGCCTGGCATAAAAACAAAACAAAACAAAACAAAAGACAAAACCTAAATATCTTAAACATTTCATCTTAATGCTTTTTTGCATTAGCTCATGGTCAGTTTATTTATTCACATCTGATGTCTGTATAGACCCCAATGTATAGATTAGTTACGTAAATAAAAAAACCCTCTAATACAATAACTTACACGCAATTACAGTAGCTCAGCTCTGATATTTTTGTTACAGATGGCTTCAGATACAAAATATTCAACAATCATATGTAACTGGCTATTTCATCATATCATTTTCCTTATGTTGCCTCAATACCTCTGCTAGAGCTACATTATTACCATTTATGACAGCACTGTAAGACAATCTGTTTAACAGAGTTAGTATTTTTCTTGTAGGTGGTTTCCAAAGTAACTTTCTCTTCTGATTCCACGGTTAAGATATAGGTCTAATAATATAGTGTAAATGTTCTCAATTTCTTGGTCACACTTGAATCTTAAGCCAAAGCAGCGATTGAACAAATGTTCTTAGCTACAAGTTGAGGGAGTGTGAGCTGGCTGCAAAAATTCCACCACCGCTACTTGAAAATCAACTCCAAATGCATGCATGCTCTGTGAGTCAGTCACCAATATTTATACAGGGAATAGAATATTTTTAAGTTACTATATTTTCATTTAGTAACCTTTTACATACATCCTTTTTTCTTTCCTGCTTCATGTTCAAAGTTCTCAACATTCAAGCTTATAAATGAATACATATCTTGGCAGGTATGACTGTGTCTGTATATTATCATGACAACAGAGTTCTGTATAGAGAATGATTTCAAGGTTTGTGACTTTAGGGTAACCCATAGTAATAGTGGCTTGTTATTTAACATGAATTCTCTGTAGAGATTTACTCACAAGGAATACTTTCTTCATTACTGGTTTTATAACAATGATTCATGATAACAAAGTCTCCTATGTGCTCCTAGGGGGTGGGGAGAGTTGAACTGTGGACTATAAACATTGTCCTGCCAAAAGGTTGTAATTCATTTTGAATTTTTCTGTCTGTTGCCATTTCAAATATCTAAAATTAACTTCGCTAAATTCCTAAACCACCTATAAAAACTGAACCGCACACAAAGATCCAGGAAATGTAAGAGGGAAGGTGGGATCTTCTCCTCCATGGTTCCAAACTAATTCTTTTTCTTCGAAACTCAACACAGAAAGACTAAGTCATACCTGTTTCTGCTTCATTTCTTACCGTTGAGAATATTACCTCCAATTATGTACCCATCACAAATAGTCTACTAAAAATAAGGAATCCTTGTGCATTTCACTGAGAATAGACTTTTTAACCCACATCCTGTTAAACATTCACCCGAACAATTCATCATTACGACAAGAGAGAATGTTAATTATTATCTGCTCATACCATTTCATCTCCACTGCTTTTCCGCAAAGAGGAAAAAATACCCTCAGTCCACTCTCGCCTTTAAGAAAAGTATCCAAATACTTCTTCAATAGCCTGGAGAGGAAAAAAATCAGTTGTTTTTTAGGGGGGTTTCAGTCAGCCTAATGCACAGAGGAAAGGACAGTTGTATGATACTAAGCTCTTTTCATGCACTGTCTGAATATTCCCAACAACCTTAACAAATATATGAATTATTATAATCTCCAGTTTACATATGAAGAAACAGGAAGAACACCATTCCTTTTAAGCATAAAGAATTGGAGGCATAAACTTTGCTTGAACATCTGCTGTATGTATAAACACGCATGATCAGTACATAGATGTTACAGGGGATGTTAAAAAAAGACATATTTCATAAATCTAAGATGCCATCGATTTTAAGTCACAACATTATTTATACACTGTGGGCAGACAAGACACTGCCAATGAAACTGTGACATGCCATAGATGCACTGTGGTACTAAAATGTGAAAGATTAAAATGTGCACCTTAAAATCATTCAAATAATGTACATCTATATTATTTCTATCTCAAAGTCAGTTTCTCATAGAGCACTTCTCTGTTATTAATATGCACCAAACATTTCTTACTGATGTCCTTGTTCTTGATGAAATGCAATTTTGCGGTTCACCCACTTGTCTTGCCATTCTTCCAGAGTTAGTACTCGGTTTTTCTGTACCTCAGTATCAGGGTACTCTTTAATATCAGGCAAAGTTTTTGTATTATCCATAGTTTTGTAGATATCTTTGTCTCACAAGGATATGTCTCCAAGGCCTAAATGGAAAACATTTGCAATGTCGTCATTTCAACGGCATCATAATTCTACTGATGAATTAATCGAACATCTATTACCCTTATTATCCTTAGCTGTATGGCTTTTAAAGACATTTCAACATCCAATGAAAAGGCATACAAAAAAGTATTTTTCACTGAGGATGGTGTTAGAAGCATACCTCATAATACACATTAGGAAAGATCTTTAAATAAATTATATCTTGACATTAGAGTAAAAGGGTTTGACTTAAGTGAAAAAAGCGGGGGAGGGGACAAAAAATAAATAGGCATTCCACAGTTTATAATTTTCGTAAGCTTAGGATGTTTTCTAGTACCTTACTTCCTCTTTAATTTTTTGAATTTCTTTTAATATTTACTTCTTACTTTTATCTATGTTATAATACACACAATTTAAAGAGTTCAACAGATTTGTTATAAAATTAGCAGTCCCCATTCCCAAAGAGAGAGGAAACCATCTTTAACTCTTTTAGTTGAATCTTGAAATCTACCTCTATATCTCGAAGTAGCATGCTCATTTTGTATATTCTTGATTTTTCACTTCTAGGTAGCACCTAGCACTCTTTCAACTTCCTGACACAAACACATATACCAGCTTCTTATCTTTCCTATCCTTCCAATGTAGTCATAGCATGTTTTTGATTAAATATTTGGGGTGCACATTATTATGACTAGGTAAATGCTATTCACAGCTAAGACATGTAGTATTCTGTGATTGCTTTGCCTTTTCCATACAACTTTTTAATGCTGTAGTTAATAATTGTCTTGCTTTCTCATTTATAAAATTTCTATGTACTTGTTACTAACTCGACTCTAAACTCTACCAATTGTTCCAATCTCCTATCAATATACTCTCAATCTCTTTGGTCATCAGATATTCAATCAATATCATCTTCTTAAAAAAGACTTCTGACTCCTAGTAGATAGCTAGCATTCTGAGATGTCTCTGATGATCATCATCCTGGAGATTCTTGTCTGAATCTCCAGTTTGCTTTATCCCACATTTTCCTCTTTTTGTTTTTGTTACCACCCTTACATTGGTAAAGCACAACCTCCAGCAGCTTCCTGACAAAGAGTGCAAGGGAGAAATTTTTTTCTGTGACTTGGCATGTATAAAATGTCTTTATACTATTTATCATTTTTGATGTGTAATTCTGCTGGGTATCGAATTCTTGGTGAGAAGCCATTTTCTCTCCCAATTTTGAAGGAATTGCTAGAATGTCTTCTATCTTCCAGTGTTATTGCTTAAATTCAAAGACATTCTGAACCTGATATTTTCCATATGGCAATTATTTTCTCTCTCAAAGCTTTTCTTTGCTTCTAGTTTTTGTAATTTCATAATTCTATTCCTTATTTTGGGTTTATTTACATCTATTTGGCCAAGTTCTTTAAATTTAGAAGCGCATATCCATTAATTCTGGAAAAAAATCTTGAGTAATTCAGATGATGATTTATGTCCCACTGTTTTTTCTCTTTCTTTTTCTGGGACCCCTATGATTTGTCTGTATAACTTCCTGACTTGGTATTACAAATTTCTCATTATATATTTTCCACCTCTTCATCTTTTTGCCCTATTTTCTGAGAGATTATTTAAATTTTTATCTTTCTACTTTTCTGCTAACCAAGTCTTTAATTTTCAGGACCTCCTTTTTGTTCTCCGATGTTCTCTTTTTATATTATCTTTTCTTATTTCATGGATATAGTATTTTCCCTTATTTATCTACACAGTCTGTTACTGACACATCACTTTTTCTGTCGGTTTCTTTTGGCCCATATCTTTCAGATTACAGAATTTCCTCAAATGCCTAGCAATTCTCATTACCTGTTCATATTTAAGAACAGGTACCAAAATACTGAGTGGAAGGCTAAGAATGTGGATGGGGTTTATAGACTGTAAGCTTTACTGTAGGATGATGTGAGTGGATTTCATTTGGAAACCTAGATGTCATTATCTTTATTTTCTTTGGGCTGGTCAGACTTTCCATAGATGGATCTCCTAATTCCTGGGGCCACTGTTGTATATTCTCATGACAAAAAGAGTATAGAAGTGGGGAAGGGTCCCAGCATTCAGTCTGCCTGTGTTCAGTTAATCCTCCTATTTTCAGTATAGTATTCCCAGCCTCAAGTGTGTATTGTGTCTTCTCAGTCCAGAGACTCTTTGTTTTACCCTCTCTAGAGAATAAAACCTCACAGCCCGCTGGTGTGGTGAGGGGCAGATACCTGACTGCAAGAAGTTGAGAAAGGAATCTGGGGATTTAGCTTTTCTTAACCAGAATTTCAAGCAATCCTTCTTGTGTCAACCACACCCTTTCACTTCATGGATCTATTGTTCCTAATCCTGAGCATCTGGGGATTTTGTAAAACAAAATGGGTTGCTCATTGACTTTCCTCATTGCTGGTTTAGAATTCAGCTTTCTTGAATTTGTAAAATTCCTTCTCACTTGTCCATCTGCCTTCTAGATTCCAAAATGTTACTGGTTTTGTCTCCTCTCCTGTCTTCTCTATCCTAGTGGTTTATGCCTTAAAAAAATCCTGTTATTGTTATCAGGAGGGAGCAAAAGTAGATGCATAGATTCAATGTCCTATCTCTACTCGACAAATTTGTATTTTCAAATAAATTTTTATAGCTTCTTTTTTGCATGGGAAAAAGATATGTAAATATAACTGCAGATCTATCGGAATGTATGAGGAAAATACCTGTCCCTTCAATGTCAACTTTGCAATATGAAGAACAAAATAACACCATAATTCTAACATCCCCTTAAAACATTAGTGAAACTAGATCTCTCTTTAAGAAAGAAAGAAAAACTAATTTAGTTTGGATTATCCTACTATGCTATTGTTGATGGGTCCAATTTAATGATTAACCCATGAAACAGCAAACATTACATAGAAGCAAGTATTTCAGGAAAAGTTCTCCTTTTGTCATGAAATTTGGCCTTTGTATGCTTAGGATTTAGGGAGAAGGCATTTCTTTCATTACTGGGAACGTGCATTCACTTCTCAGCAAACCTTTGTTAGCAAATGGCTTTTGCTAAGACCCTAATGATGTCAGGAAGTGACTCAGAGTTTTCTGAGAAGTCAGTGGGAATATCTGTGTAATACATTGGGTAAAGAAGAGCCAAGAGAGTTGCAGTTTTCCCATCCTCGTTTTCAGCCAGAAATTCTGGAACCTAAACCCAAGGCTTCATAAAGCAGTTCTCTACATAAAATAAAGGGATGCATAATCTTTTATCACAGAGCCATCACAACGTGGAATTGCACACCTCTAAACCTTTCATACAAACTTGAAATAACTGTATAATATCATCAAAATAAACTTAATCACTTCTTAGCTGTTCTAACAGTCATTTCTGGAGACACAAAAAGTTTCTGTGATACAATAAAAGTGCACATTACAAGAATCAGGGAAGGTAAATTTCACAATAATGCCTAATCATAAACAGAAATTGCGAATAAGCTCCTGTGGTCGCCTAAGTTCTCAGGTTGTTCTGGTCTCCTTACCCATTTTTAAAAAAAAGAAATTCTGCTTTAGTTTTATTTTTCAATTTCGTTAAATTGAAGAGTAACTTCCGTAAGGTGCACAAATCTTAAAAGAGGATGGCTCAGTGAATTTTTTACATATGCACACATCTGTGTAACCACCACAGAGCAACACAGAATATTTACAGCATTTCAGTTGCCCACATTCCCAGAGCATCGCTATTTGGCCGTGCTCCTCTTTTCTTAAAAATCGCAAAGACACAGCAATGCTTTGGAGCCACTTTAGATCATGGGCTCAGAAAGGTCATTTACTGCTCGACCTCGTGAGTCCAGTTACCGCTTCTGTTCCCTGAATCCCATTTCAGAGCGGGGATCGCGGGGCTGTCCACGCTTGTTAGGACCCCGGTTCCCAGGAATCCTATCCCAAGCCCACAGACTCCAGCAAGTCGTTCCACTGCTCCCCCGCACCCTCCCTGCGCCCCGGGGAGCCTACCTGCCTCACAGCGGGCTGCCGATCACTACCTCCAGCGCGGGGTCCTCACCCGCGCCCCGCCTCAGCCCCGCCCCCCGCACGCAGACCCCGCCCCCTCCCCTGCGCCCGAGTTTGCGCAGCGGCGGAAATGGGCAGGGCGGGGCGAGCGCCGCGGCTAAAGCGAAGGCGGGGCCCCTGCTCCTCCCTGGGCTCGCCGGCTCCTCCCACCCCGGGTCACGCCGTGACAGGGGCGGAAGCGGTGGTGGCGGCGGCGGCCGAGCAGGGGCTGCGGCTCGCTGCGCGGATCGTGCCGTCCTATGCGCGCGGCGCGCGGCTCTGGAGAGGCGCCCGCAGTCCTGGGCGGCGCGCACCGCCTCGCCGGCGCTCGGAGGTGGAGGGCTCGCGACTCCGGGGGCGGGCGTGGGGGCGGTGGCGGATTTCGGGTGACAGCGCTGCACAAAGCAGCTTGGCTGGGGTGCAAGCCTTCCTTCTGCCCCTGTGCAGCGTCCCTCGACCGGGTGGGAGGTGGGCGAGTGCCCCAGGGGCTAATACCTCTTGCCCGGGATTGGAAGAGGGCGCGGGCTGGGGATCCCTGCCTGAGTAGGGGGAATTCCTGGGTTGGGGTGTTGGGGCGACAGGGTTCCCCGATTGGTCGCGGTGTTGGAGGTCTCCTAACCACCCTACAATGTTTCCTTTATAGCGCTGCGTTTTCCCCGAGACCACTTGCACCCCTTCAGCGCTGAGGTGAGCCCCGGGGCTGTTGCTTCTCTGACTTCGGAGAAGACACGAAAAAGCTTTTCGGAAAGCGAGGCGGCTGCAGCTGGCTCCGTGAGCGTTGGGGCTCCCTCCTGGGGCTGTCAGAGCCCTGCTCCTCGGGCGGGTGCCTGCCCCGGGAACCCCGCGGTCTGGGAGTGGGAACTCCCTCGCATGTTCTTCCAGCCGATAGGGTGCGGCGAGGAGCCCGCACAGCCTTGCAGGTGTAGTAATACTCTGGCATCGCCACCGCGCTTTGAGACTTGATTAGCATTGCCAGGTTGCTGAGGTAACTCCTCTGGGATTGGAGACCTGGAGGGGGTGGCCCGATTAGGGTGGCTGTTAGTCAACAGTCTGGCAGCTGGCAGGTGAAAGAGGAAGGAAGAGGCAGGCCCAGCTATAGAAAGTTGGGGTTCAGTGGTCTGGAACGCAGCCAGATACAGGCCCAGTCTTCCCCTGGGTGAGCTGGCAGGACTCTAGAGACCCCTCGAGTTGGGGGGATTCTCCACTCCACATACACACACGGGACCCAAGGCTTTGGCCACTTTTGTTTTGTGTTTTTAAATCTATTTTAGTGGCAGAAAGGCAAGTGGGAGGGAAGATTTCTTCAGGAGGTACATGAGGAAATTACCGTCAATAATTAATTGTCTTCCAGGCAGAGAAAGTAGTTAACAAAAGACATCCAGGCAATTGGGGATTCAATATTAAATTATTGAACTACGTATTTAATATTGAATAATTCAATATTGAATCGTACGGGATCCATATTTCTGAAAATTTGATTATAGTGTGGCAGTAATAAGGTGCTAGTCCTGGCTTATGTTAAATGTCCCAAAGGGACATTCCTGTTTCTGTTGTGTCTAAAGAAGTTTCTAGTAGTTTGTCCTATTTTTAGAAATTGTGCTGACGCCACTAATTTTTATTCTAACCCGAAGTCCATTTGATTCATATTTGTATGAATTCTGTGAGTATGTTTTAAGAAAATCTTTCTGAATAAGCTCTTCAGGAACACGTGGGAATTATTAAAATAGAAATCTACATATTGATATATCCATTTAAATATACCAAAAAACCCCATTTTTTCTTTCTTTTATTACATTAAAAGAAAACTAAATCCAAATTTAAAATGAGGAATAAATATGCATAATAATATTGAACATGAAACAAATTATATTTAGTTAGGTATGTTTATTAATTTGGAAAATCAGGTGGGAAAACACTTTTAGGGTACTAGTTTGTTTTAATGTTGTTTTGGTCAGTATTTCTAAGTTTGTATCAAAGCACAATAAGTTTAGTTTTTCCCACTTAAAATTTTTTCTTTCATTTTAAGAGTCAAGGACCCAGCAACTGGAAATAAATTACATTAAGTGCCACAAAGGATGGAGGCACATAACCCTCAATTATATAACTAAAGATGAAAATGTGCTACCTTAAAAACTGTCAGTCAGAGCCCAGTAAAAAACAAAAAACCCCCCTTCAATCAGATTTAATAGTGGCTTTTATAGCTAATGTTTTCATGTCATCTGTAAACATTTCTTGAATTATATTCTTATTGAATTAAGTATATGTTTTCCAGTATACAATTAGATTAAAATTCTTAATGAAACTTCTGGAAACTATGCTTTCTTTTGAGAATGCATACCTTCCTAGGTGACAGGGTCAAATGTTGTATGAACCTAGGCTGATTTAATTTACGTTTCTAACCCCACATTGGATTTCATATATTTTTACTGCAATACTTACATATACTATACATATACAAATACTATGTATATTTACATATACTATGTTTGTGGTTCATTTTATGAATAATGTGGGATTTGTTTTATACATAAGGGAGATATATGTATTTATATGAGAATTCATGTTTACATATGTATATAAAGAGATTCATTAGGTTGGACAGCCTTTTGAAAATATAAATGGGATCCAGAAGGCCTTCTTTGGGTATAACAATTATAGGTAGATAGTACTTTTAACATTATTAGTGCTTTATTCAACAGTATAATGGATGCTGTAGAACTAATTGGCAATTTAATGCTGAAAGAACTATAATACATTTCAGAATATGTGGGGTTTATATGTTCACAGCCAATGTAATATTTATTGGTTCTGAGAAAGTGAAGACTAAGTCAAAGGAAAATCATCCATAACATTGATGTCCAGATTTTTCAAAGTCAATGTAGATGGCAAAATGAGTTTTTCCACATGATGTTAATAATCCATGAAAAATACTATTATGAATGTTAATATAACTCACAAATATAAAACAATAGGATTACAAGCTCCTCAAAGATTTTCTACAAGATTATATATGTGGAATTTGTGTTTTGTGGTACCAGTTTTCCACTTTCAAATTCTTTATCTGTAGGTCTGTCCTGTTTTTCATCTATCATTTTTTTTGCATGTGTACTGAATATGATGAATAAGGGGAGGAGATCAATGATAATTATAGATTTTACATATTGTTGAATATGGACTTAAGCGTTTTTCATTCCTTATTTAATTGAAACAAATTCTAGTAGTGCTTATCTTTCATGGTTGCTGTGTGTTATTTCTCTTATAGACTTTGATTCTTAATGTTTGTTTAACCATGGTGTTATTGGACTAGTATGAGAACTCCTAAAGATTTTCCAGTAGGAGATGTCGGTGCTTCTATCTAATTCAGATTCATATATCCAGTAGTGACTAGAAAGTGTGCCTGATATTTATATGTTGAGTTTTAAGGAAGGAATGAATGAGTTCTTTTTAAAGTATATTAAGGGATGAAAATGTGGGAACTGCTAAGAAGATACAGTAAGATGGAGAGGAGCACAACAAACAAAAACTAGGTGTTTTTCTTCATTGGATTTTGCAAACACTAGTGTGATTTATTGATCACTTGTGGTATGTTTCTCATTTTTATATTTTTAAATGTACATACTACTAATGGATAATATTGATTGAGTACTTATAATATGCCAGTCCTGGTGCTATAAATAGGTTATCTTGTTTAATCTTCTTATCAATGCTAAGTATACTCTTACTGTGCCCATTTTATATATGAAAACACTGAGGCTTAGAGACGTTAAGTAATTTGAAGATGATGGCTTAATACTCAGGCAGTATAGCTATAGAGCATACACTCCTAGCTACTAAACTGCATAATAACTTTGCTTCAGGCTGGTGAAAACATTAGCAGATGCTAATATTTATGGTTTGATTTTTTTTTATGGCAGATTTGTAATACAATGGCAGCCCCACGGGGGAGGACAAAGAAAAAAGCACCTTTTGATCATTCGCCAGATAGCCTTCCTTTGAGGAGCTCCGGCAGGCAGGTATTACTCATTTGTTCATTCAGTGTACCTTTTTTTTGAACACACAGAAATATTATGATTGGTACTGGAGAGTAACAGTTGAAAAGATACAACTCCAGTGCTCAAGTTGCTCACAGTCTAGTGGAAAAATTCACAATACAGTCATAAAACAATGTGATAAAGTGATAGAATGTAGAAAATAGCTTATCTGGCAAAGCGAACTGCGAGTATAAAGGCATAGCATGTGAATCAGCATGAGGTGTTCAGAGAATTGCAGTTGTGTGGTTGCTTCCAGAACATGAGGCTGGGGCCAGATCATAGTATCATTCATAGGAATTTGGACCTCAGCTTCTAGTTGGCCGGGTGTGATTGGAGGATTGCTTTTTTGTATTGAAGGGCTTTTTTGGTAGGGCTTTTATTTATTTTTTAAAAGAAAAAAATGAAAGGATAGAGTAATTCTTTAGAATTGGTCTAGTTTGTTATTAACAATACTGAGAGTATAACTTCTCTAAATAAAGAAAAAAAATTTTAATTTGAGAAGGACTTTTGTTTATTTTGACTGTCACTTTTTCCTAAGAATGGCTTACCTGAATTCAAGTTCTCTACTCAGATACCTATCATTAAAATGCCAGTTCTATATCTTTAGTCAAGTTTATGAATTACTTGCACAGAGCAGTTGCAAGGATATTGCTGTATTGTCCACCCCTAACCTACTGCCAGGATGTTCTTGACCTTCACATTTAGTACTTCTAACATGGATGTGATTTCAGCAGTGAACCTTCTGCCGCCTTCAACCCTGGTCATTCTGGTGAAATTTTAACATCAGTTGGTTCTTCCTCAGGCGAAGAAGAAAGCAACAGAGACAACAGATGAGGATGAGGATGGCGGGTCAGAGAAGAAGTACAGGAAATGTGAAAAGGCAGGCTGTACAGCAACATGTCCTGTGTGCTTTGCAAGTGCTTCTGAAAGGTCTGTTTAGATGGTGTGTCTTGGCATCGTGTTTCTGCCCGTGAGAACATTCCTTGTGGGAACATCATCCTCGAAGATAGTTGTCCTAAAGATAGATATAGATTCTGTAAGTCAACTAATAATAGAGACATTGCCCAGACATTCTGTACACACCATGCCCCCCTCGACATCCTCCCCCGGTTATACTTCGCCCACTGGGAGAGACTGTACCCATATCGACTTTGCAATACGGTGTCCTCACATCCAGCCAACCATAGCTGCACCTCTCCTGGGGGTTGAGGGTGGGATGGTGAGGAGTGGTGAGACAGTAGAAAGAACCCGTTAGCTCCCTGTAGAGACCAGCATGTGTTTACTTTTCACTGTATTTTCTCCCTCATGAAACATACCTCCTCTTCCCACATACACATATACGTCTCATAGACACTGTGTAGCTAACTGCAGTCTTGCCATTTTTATCGGAGTGACACAGGTATGACTTTTTTTTTTTCCCCAGGGAAAAAATTCTTCAATTAAGGTTTAAGATTCAATAAACCCTGGAAAACAAATTCTGTTTGTTTTTAAACACAAAGACGTGGTAGTGGTCATGTACACACTGGCATGATTTTTCATTCTCTTGCTATATTATCAGCTCTTTGACAGGTTATGTTTGCCAGATTGCCTGCTTGATGTTTAGATTACAGCTGGCCAGATTCCTTCTCTAGTCAATACTGGGCCAGATATTATTACTAGAGACTTCACTTCTCTCCTTCACACACATGCAGCTTGCAGCAAGTGCAGTGTCATCTGTCATTTTGTGTCATAAAACCCTATCGTTGCTCCAAGGAGTCTTGCTAAGACTCCTAAGCCCCGGGAAGCCAGCTAGGTTAGGTACCACTGCTCTAAGTCCTTGTATCCTCACCATGTATTATTATCTATCAATCATACATTCCAATTTTCCCTGTTGTTTTTTTTTTTTAATTATCCCCTGTTGTTAGCTTGTGGCTGTTAGAAGTCTAAGTGGAGACAATGCAAAATGGGTGCATAGGAGGTGTTGGCTAAATGTTTTTTAAAAAGAGAGAAGAAATGTTTATTCACTACCAAAGCTCCATGTTTTCACTATTTTCAGATGCGCCAAAAATGGCTACACATCCCGATGGTATCACCTTTCTTGTGGGGAACATTTCTGTAATGAATGCTTTGACCATTACTACAGAAGGTATGTTCACTAATTGCTTGAGGTTTCTGTGGAGAAGGGGGTAGTCGAGGTGGTCAGATGCTGAAGTCCCTAGGCTTACTGAAATTATTTGACCATTTCAGCCATGACTATAATTTTGACCAGAACTTTGCTGTAGTTTTGCGTGTGTGCACACTCAGGGCTCAAAAAATATCTGCCATGAGACAGTTGTTTTCCTTAGTCTGCAAGTCTAAAATCCAGATAATTCAACATGGTATAAAAGAGGAAACTAAAGTCTCACCACCAGTCGGTGATAGATGCTGGAAAATCTAGAAGCTGTTGATTCTATTATTCTCAGTTTCATTGATTTATGCTCTAATTTTTATTATCTCTGCTTGCTTTAGGTTTAGTTTTCTTTTTTTCTCTAGTTTCCTAACTTGGAAGCTTAAACTATTGATTTTAGATCTTTCTTCTTTTCCAGTACATGCATTTAAATGCTATAACTTTCCCTCCGATTTAGGTATATTCCATAATTTTGATAACTTTTCATTGTGCTCAAGATATTAATTTCCATTGAGTCTTCCTCTTTGACCCCTAGATTATTTACAAGTAAATTTTTAATTTCCAAATATTTGGGACATTTCCAATAAATTTTCTGTTGCTGATTTCTAGTTTAATTCCGTAATGGTTTGAGAATATACTTTCTATGATTTCTGTATTTTAAGTTTGTCAAGGTTTGCTTTATGGCCCATAGTGCCATGTATCTTGGTGAAATGTCTCATGTGCAATGGAGAAAAATGTGTAATCTACTGTTGTCAGATGGAATGATCTATAAATATCAAATAGATCAAGTTGATTGATAGTGCAGGTCAAGTCATATATATCCTTCTGATTTTATTCCTGCATGATCTTTCAATTACTAGGAGAGGTGTCTTAAAGTCTACAATTATAATTGTCTCTTACAGTCTTCAACTATAATGCGGATTTGTCTTTTTTCCTTTCAGTTCTATAAATTTTTACCTCACGTATTTTTAATCTCTATTATTAGTACATTTTATATCTAGCATTGTTATGGCTTCTCTGAAAACTGACCTCTGTATGTAATATCCCTTGTCTTGTTATCCCTGATAGCAATCCTTATTCAAATTAATATGGCTGTTGCCACTATCTTTTTATTAGTGTTAGCATGATTAACATTCTCCATTTCTTTACTTTTAATCTTTCTGAGTATTTTTGTATTTGCAGTAGATTTCTTGTATACAGCATATAGGTTTTTGTTTTATTTATTTTTTTGGTAGAGACAGGGTCTCTGGATGTTGCCCAGGCTGGTCTCAAACTTGGGGCCTCAAGTGATCTTCATGACTTGGCCTGCCAAAGTGCTGGGATTACAGGTGTAGGGCTATAAAATACACACACACACACACACACACACATATATACACCCATATATATATAAATTTCTTTTTAAAATAATCCTAGGCCCTTATTAATTTTACATACTAAAACTGACAAGAATGCACCCCTTCTTGACAGCCTGGTTTTTAGGTGCCATTATAACTTCTCCTTTCCTTATATACAAGGCTAGATAAGTCCTTTACCTAAGATTTACTAAACTGCCTCCTATTTTGAAAACCTGATTACTTATAGGTACCTTGATATATTTATTTTTTTGTTTTTTAGCCATAAGGATGGATATGACAAATACACTACATGGAAAAAAATATGGACTAGCAATGGCAAAACCGAACCTAGTCCCAAAGCTTTCATGGCAGATCAGCAACTCCCCTACTGGGTAAGAATGATGTTCTCTTGTTCTGTAAAGCATTTATGGAGCTAAATATAAGAGGAATGGATGAAAACACTGATGTTTAGGGAATCTTTCTTTTATTACATTTGTTCTTTCTATAATTATTAAAGCAAAAAAAATTTTTTTTTTTTTTTTTTTTTTTGGAAAGCTTAGATAATTCAACATAGTACAAAAAAGGAAACTAAAGTCTCACCACCAGTCGGTGATAGA